TATTAAAGGTAAGCTGATTACAACACTAATATATTTTAATTGTTGACAAAGTTAAAAACAAAGAAAAGCATACAGAAGAGGCTAAAAATCACTCAAAATCCCACCATCCCAAGAAAAATACTGTTAACAATTTGATATATTTGTTCCCAGTGGGTTTTTTCTGCATATATACATACATTAATTTTAATAAAAGCGTATCACAAACTATGTATTGTTTTGTAACTTACTTTTTAACTAACAAAAATTATATTTTACATCATTAAATATTTTACATAATTTTGTTTATATTTTTAAATGTTTAATTTAATTTTTGAATGTCTTACATGCATATGTGACAAAATTCAAATGATATAAGAAGATATACAATGAAAAGTAAGCCTCCTTCCTACCCCTCTTTCCTAACAACCCAGTTCTCATATCAGAAAGAAACCTTATAACCAGTTTCTTATGGATCCTTCTAAAAACATACTATACATTTACAAGCAAAGATGTATATACATACATATACTTGTTTAAAAAACACAAATAGTGTACTATACATACTGTTCTTTACTTTGCTTTTTTTTTTTTTCTTAATAATGAGTCTTGGAGATTCTTCCATATCAGTGCATAAAGATCTATCTCACTCTTTTTAACAACTATATAATTTGTTGTAAGGATATGCCATAATTTATTTAACCAGGTCCCTATTGATGGACACTTAGGGTTGTCCTAATCATTTGCTATTACAAACAATTGAATGACCTTGTATGTATTTTGCATATGTGCAGTATGTCTATAGGATTCATTTTTAGAAGTAGAGGTCATAAGGTATATGCATTTAAAAATTTAAGCGCTAGTTCCAAATTGCCTTTCATAGAGTTGGCCCCAGTTTATATATGCCCTCAGCAGTGTGGTGCATCATCAGACTATTTTATTTTGGCCACTTTGATAGGTTACAATGGTATTTGGTAGTCTTAAGATTCATTTTTCTTATTAACAAAGAGATTGTGCATTAATTCATAGCCATTATAATATCATTTCATGATGTTATATTTTATGATAGCACTTATTACGGTATAATTTACATACAGTGAGTGCACAAATCTTATACAAGCAGTTTGATGAATTTTATAACATATTTTGACTCCCGTGGAACCACTACCCAGATTGAGATCTAGAGCATTTCTGTTGTCCCTGAAAGCTCCCATGTGCCCCTTTCCTGTCAATATCACCCCCCAGGCAGCCACTATTTTGAGTTCTATCAGACAGATAAGTTTTATCCATTCTTAAACTTCATGTAAAGGAAATAATACAGTATGTGCTCTTTGTGTTTGAGTTCTTTCACTTAACACGTTTTTGAGATTTATTCATGTTCTATTATGACATCATCTTAAAGAGCAGCAAAGAAAAAATATATGCACATGCCATAATTTAGTCAATTCCTTATGTTAACTGGTCCCCTAAATGTTACTCCTTTCAGTTGTTTTCAATTTCTTGTTATTATAAGCAGTGTGATCTGGTAGCTAAATATTTGCTACAAATACTTCCATGGTATGAATTCTTAGAAGCACAATATCTGGATGAATGGATATGTACTGTTCAAGGCTTTTGATTATGTATTTCTGAATTGTCCCCATAAAAGTTGTATGGATGTACTGTCCTACCACAGAAGAATGAGGGTGTTCATTTCAAGGAAATTATACCTCCTTGATCCCTCACCAATACTGGGTATAACAATTAAGTTTTTGTTTTCCAACTTGATAGGTGAAAAATGGTGTTACCATTTTAGTTTCCTTTTCTTCGAAAATGTTGAACATCTTTATGTTTGTTGAACATTGGTATTTCTTCTTCTGTGGTTAGCACCTAGCTCTTGTCCATTTTTTTCTGTTTAGTTTTGTCTTTTTGTTACTAATTTATGAGAGTTCTTTATGTAGTAAGAGTATTAATATCTTTGTTTTAAAAACTTAAAATTTCCTATTTAAAAATTATGTATTTCCGTTTTATAAAAGTTTTATTTATTTTTTAGTGAGGAAGATTGGCTCTGAGCTAACACCTGTTGCCAATCTTCCTCTTTTGCTTGAGGAAGATTTGCCCTAAACTAACAACTGTGCAAGTTTTCCTCTATTTTGTATGTGGGTTGCCGCCATGGCATGGCTTGATGAGCGGTGCGCCTGGGATCTGAACATGCGAACCCCAGGCTGCCGAAGCGGAGCATGCAAACTTAACCACTGCACCAGCAGGCTGGCCCCTAAAAGTTTTAAATCTAAACCCAAAAGAACAAAAACTCCTAAAATCCCACTGTCCAAGGATAACCACTATTAATATGTTTTTCTAAGCATATATGTAAATATACTATATATATATAATATATTTTTTTACAGAAATGGAATCATCCTTTACATACTCTTTTTGTGTGTGTGTGAGGAAGATTAGCCCTGGGCTAACGTCCGTTGCCAATCCTCCTCTTTTTGCTGAAGAAGATTGGCCCTGGGCTAACATCTGTGCCCATCTTCCTCTACTTTATATGGGACGCCGCCACAGCCTGGCTTGATAAGTGGTGCGTTGGTCCGTGCCCAGGATCTGAACCTGCAAATCCTGGGCTGCGGAAGCGGAGCGCACAAGCGCAAACTTAACCCCTACGCCACTGGGCCGGCCCCTTTTACATAGTTTTTTTTGTTTTTGTTTTTAAACTTCACACTATTTTAGAAACCGCCTTTTTGCTTAACAGTATTTTGTGCATGCCTTGTCATGTCATTACATATTTTTCTATAACATCATCTGTAATATTTCATTTTTTTCATTTAAAAGCAATATGTTGTCATTGTAAAACATTTGAATATCACAGGAAAAATGTAGTAGGTATAAGTTCCTGTCCTTGTGCTCTGCAGTGATAACTACCATTGACAGTTCTGTGTATGGTCTTTCACATCTTTTTCCTAAGGCTTTTCTAGCCATACTCTTTTTAAAAAATATAATCGCATTATGCACATTGTTTTTAATTTTTCGCTTAATCAATCTTGGACACGTCAATATATGTAGACCAGCCTTGCTTATTGTAATGGGGGTAGAATATGGAGATGTCGTCACCAACATCTTCTTGATGGATGTTTGAATTGTTTCTGGTTTTTCTTTAATACAAACTGCTTTAATACAAGCATCCTTCTACACACATCTTTAAGAGCTCAAGCAGGTGTTATAAAATGAATTCCTAGCACTGGAATCACTAGTACAGAGTACAAACAGTATGGACATTTAAATATTTAATAGCATTATCCTCCAGAAGGGCTCTATCAGTTTACAGCACTCCCTTCATTGTAGAGAGCTCCTTCATAGCTTCTTTCTCTTTGTGGATTCTGTTTTGTGGGTTGCAGAGGCTTTCATCACAGAGAGATCAGAAAAATAGTTCAGGTAGATTTTTTCGATAAGCCAGATTTTTCAAATATTTTAAATATTAAAAAAATAATATTTATTAGTTTTCCTTTATGCAAAGAAGGAAAAAGAAGGAAACAAAATAATGCACAGTTGTCCCACTCTCTTTGACATTAAAAAATAAAAAATAGGGGCTGGCCCTGTGGCGTAACTTAAGTTCAGTGCACTCCACTTCGGCAGCCCAGGTTCGCAAGTTCGGATCCCGGGTGCAGGCCTACACCACTTGTCAGCCGTGCTGTGGCGGCGACCCTCATACAAAGTAGAGGAACACTGGCACAGGTGTTAGCTCAGGGCTAATCTTCCTCCACCAAAAAAAGAGGAGGATTGGCAACAGATATTAGCTCAGGGCGAATCTTCCTCAGCAAAAATAAATAAATAAACTTAAAAAAAATAATAATACTTGAACATGGTTTAAAAATGTAAACCATCCAGGATACAAGATGAAAAAGGAAAGCCTCTCTCCCAGTTTCTCTCCCCAAACTAACCACTGTTAATACTTTTGTATAATCCCTTCTAGAAAAATATTCTCTATATATTGATGCAATATTGTAAATATACCTAGAGCCACATCTCCAGCTCTAGCCAAGTTTTGTGACTTTCCTTAATTAGTTAAAATGTGTCTCCCAAACTCTGGTGTCCATAGACCTAGAGGTTTACATTTCAAATGGATAGAGATGGGCTCTGTAGTAAAATAATTCGACAGCTAAGTCATAGTCTCTTTATACTGACTGGCAGGAAAACATGTCTAAGAAATTTGTCACCTATGATAGAGAACAAGCATAGTCTGATTTAATCTTACCAGAGATCTTCCCTTTAATATGATTAGATATCAAATATATTCTTTGTTTGGCTCCCTGGGTTGCAGATATGTTATATCTTTAGCTTTCTTATCAGTACACTTGATTTACAACATATTCACTGAATTAAACAAAGTACTTGCAGGTCTGAGTGTTTTGCTTCACCGTTTCTCTTTACTTAAAGCTGATTCCTTAAAGGGAGACCCATATTTCTGATTTCATATATTCCTTTCACAATGAGAGAGCTTGTGTTAATGTTTCCATAAGAGCTCAGCTTCTCGGTAGATGTATATTTCATTTACACAATAGGGAGAATACTGTACATATGTCCCTAACTTTGCATCTTTCACTTAATATGTCTTGAAGATCTTTTCATGTCAGGCATATGGATCTATTGAGGAAGATATTTTTAAACTGAGGGGTAGATTTTTAAAGCTAATGAATTGTTCTTCACCCTCCACAGCCTGTGGCCCTGTTGTCTTTACCCATTTGGTTTCCCAGGAAGGGGGTCGGGGTGGTAGACTGCTAAGTCATCACACCAAGGCTGAGATCCCCTCAGGCAGTCCCACCGTGTGACACTCCTCAGTGACCCTCTCTACCCCGTGGACACAATTCCTGGTGTCAGTGCTAAATTTCGCTTCTCTGTCTCTGGGTGCCCTCGCCCCATAATCGTCCATATAGACAGAGGGTTGAAGAACGGGTGCCTTCTCAGGCTGATGGAAGGGGACTGTGGTGTTTTTCCTCCCTCACGCCCTGCCTACTGACGTCTGCCGTCTTTTATTTCCACTCCAGGGGAAGCCGTATGTCTTTGACCGTGTATTCCCCCCAAACACGACTCAGGAGCAAGTTTATCATGCGTGTGCCATGCAGATTGTCAAAGGTAACGGGTGTATTCTTAGAGTGTGTTCTCTCAGGCTCCTCATCCCTACACCACTTCTCTCCACCAGTGCTCTTGCTTCACCATCTCTTCCAGATGTCCTTGCTGGCTACAATGGCACCATTTTTGCTTATGGACAGACATCCTCAGGGAAAACACATACCATGGAGGTGAGGGTTCTGACTTCTATGGGGGGTGAGGAGTTGGGGGGTGATAATGGGAGGCCAGGGAATCTCAGTAGGGGAGGATCTAGGAATCAAGGGTTGCCTGGTCCAGAGGAAGAACTGAGGGGCAATATTATAGTGGAAGTTTAATGGAATCCCTTCTGCCAGCTGCAGTTTACCCTCCTTTCCACTACTCCAGTTTTCTTCTTTTGATCTGTAAAAGCAGCAGCAGTACAAGTCCAAAAGTCTACTCAGTTCTCTCCTTCCACTAAGAGGTAGATGTGGAGTGACCACCTCCTACCTTAGCATGTTCTTCTTATCAACTGTTACTTGGTGTGCACCTCATACTCTGAGTTGTCCATTCTTCCTGCGCTCCCGCCTCATTCTGGAATATCTTACTCCCCAGGGAAAGCTGCATGACCCCCAGCTGATGGGTATCATTCCTCGCATTGCCCGAGACATCTTCAACCATATCTACTCCATGGACGAGAACCTTGAGTTCCACATCAAGGTGATGAGGGCATGACCGCTGGGCATCCTCAGATGGGCCTGGAAGGGGAAGATCTAGTAGGAACCCACTGAGATCCTGGGCACCCCAACTTATTCTCCTCGCCTGGTTGCCTCAGTTCTTCTCTGCCAAGATATTCTCTTCTGCTCTTTCCCTCCCACTCCCACCATTTGAGTGTTCCCATTAGCTTGAGATCCCTGTATCAGATTTAAGACAGGCCCTCTTCACGTCCTATTCCTCCTTTCTCCCCAACCAGGTTTCTTACTTTGAGATTTACCTGGACAAAATTCGTGACCTTCTGGATGGTGAGTGAAGTTTAACCCCAGTGGGTGGGTGGCGGGGGGAGGAAGGCAAGGAAAAGAGATCACATTGCTCTTGGGATTCGGTCCTGTTTGGCAAGAGATGCAGAGGGCACACACATTCATACCCATGTCCCTTGCCTCCACTCACCAAGAATTTCCAAAAACCAAAAAGGTCAGAAGAGGAGCTTAGATGCCCAGGCCTTCACAGAAACAGCCTGAGATGAGCTGGACCCCGGGGGCTGGCATCCTGGAGGAGGAGAGACTGAGTTTTCAGGGCATGATGGAGATTTAGCATCACAGGGAGTCTTCTTCCCTTCTGCACATAGAAGAACCCACCATCTGAGCAGACTGCAGGGGGCAGGGGCTGGGGAGCTAGGGGTGGAAGAGCTGGCCTTGCTCACCCTGCCTTGTCTTCATTCAGTGACCAAAACAAATCTGTCTGTGCACGAGGACAAGAACCGGGTGCCGTTTGTCAAGGTGAGAGTGGGGATGGAGGCACTCAGGTGGGGCCAGTGTACTAGGAGTGTCGGTTTGGGAGGAGAATAAACCAGTGACCCAGAAGTTGGAGGGTGGATATTCTGGAGCAGTGAGATGGGTAAGAGGCTGGGGAGAGTCTGAGGCTTGGGACAGACACTGTCTTGAAAGGTCATTTGGTCACCATGCAGGTAATTTATTTATTTATTTTAATCTTTTTTGTGTGTGTGAGGAAGATCAGCCATGAGCTGACATCCATGCCAGTCCTCCTCTTTTTGCTGAGGAAGACCGGCTCTGAGCTAACATCTATTGCCAATCCTCCTCCTTTTGTTTTTTTCTTTTTTCCCCCAAAGCCCCAGTAGATAGTTGTATGTCATAGTTGCACATCCTTCTAGTTGCTGTATGTGGGACACGGCCTCAGCATGGCTGGAGAAGCGGTGCGTCGGTGCACGCCCGGGATCCGAACCTGGGCCGCCAGTAGTGGAGCGCGCGCACTTAACCGCTAAGCCACAGGGCTGGCCTGCCGTGCAGGTAATTTAATTTGCAGGTCAAAGTTTATGGGTCACCGTCCATTTGTCCCCTGCAGGGTTGTACTGAACGCTTTGTGTCCAGCCCCGAAGAGATTTTAGATGTGATTGATGAGGGGAAATCGAATCGTCATGTGGCTGTCACCAGTGAGTGGGGGTATAAGGGGCTCTTGAGTCAGGGGTCAGCCTCTCCTCTGTGCCCTCTGGGGCTGAGGGACTTGGAAGTGAGCAAGCGAAGACTGTGTCCTCCAGAGGAGGAGGGATGCTTGTCTGTGCGACCCTGCAGCCTGGGAGCTGTAGTGGCAGGGCTGGTCCTGGCGGGCACCCTCTCTCAGTGGGTGGGGGTGGCAGACAGTGGAAGCCAAGGGCTGAGGGGTTGGCACAGAGACTGTTTCTCCCTTGCTCCTACAGACATGAATGAACACAGCTCTCGAAGCCACAGCATCTTCCTCATCAACATCAAGCAGGAGAATATGGAGACTGAGCAGAAGCTCAGTGGGAAGCTGTACCTAGTGGACCTGGCAGGGAGCGAGAAGGTGGGGGTCTTGTGGGGGAGGGGTGGGTAGGGAAGGAAGCCTCGGGGAGTGGCCTTTTGTAAAATCAAGATAACTTTTTTATTGAGTATAATTCCCATACCATAATGTTCACCATTTTATTTTATTTTTTTATAATTTTATTTATTTATTTATTTCTTCCCCCAAAGCCCCAGTAGATAGTTGTATGTCATAGCTGCACATCCTTCTAGTTGCTGTATGTGGGACACGGCCTCAGCATGGCCCGAGAAGCCGCGCCTCGGTGCGTGCCTGGGATACGAACCCCAGCCGCCAGCAGCGGAGCATGTGCACTTAACCGCTAAGCCATGGGGCTGGCCCAAGTTCACCATTTTAAAGTGTACAACTCAGTGGTTTTTAGCGTGTTTGCAAGATTGTGCAGTTATCACCACTAATTCCAGAACATTTTCACCACCTGTTAACAGTTGCTCCCTATTCCCCCTCCCCCATCCCCTGGCAACCATTAATCTACTTTCTGATTCTATGGATTTGCGTTTTCTGGACATTTCATATAAATGCAATTGTATAATATGTGGGCAGGGGGGTGGCCTTTGGCAAGAGAGTTTCGGGGGACAGAGGAAGGGCCTTCTCTGTCCTCTTTCCCTGTCTCCTTCCCTCCTTGGACTGAGCCCCCTACGTGGAGAAGAGGTGGTGAGAGCCCTCTCCCTCTGCAGCTGCTCATGACACACTGGTCCCTTAATGCTCTGGTAGGTCAGCAAGACGGGAGCAGAGGGCGCCGTGCTGGACGAGGCAAAGAATATCAACAAGTCCCTGTCAGCCTTGGGGAATGTGATCTCTGCACTGGCCGAGGGCACTGTGAGTGTTCCCTGGGTACCCTCACCCCTCTAGCTCCACCACATCTCTGCCTTCTCCTGATGCCCCCATCTAATCATGCCCAATTCCTGCTTGCTCGATCCCTAGTCAGCACCACTCTCCTTTCTGATTCTCCTGTTGAATTCATTTTTCTTTTCTTTTCTTTTTTTTTAAAGATTTTATTTATTTATTTTTTCCCCCCAAAGCCCCAGTAGATAGTTGTATGTCATAGCTGCACAACCTTCTAGTTGCTGTATGTGGGACACAGCCTCAGCGTGGCCAGAGAAGCGATGCGTCTGTGCGCACCCGGGATCCGAACCCCGGGCCGCCAGCAGTGGAGCGCACGCACTTAACCGCTAAGCCACGGGGCCGGCCCCAGAATTCATTTTTCTGATTCACGGTCTCCCTCCTCCCCCAGAAAACCTACGTTCCATATCGTGACAGCAAAATGACGCGGATTCTCCAGGACTCCTTGGGAGGAAACTGCCGGACAACTATGTTCATCTGCTGCTCGCCATCCAGCTTCAACGACGCGGAGACCAAGTCCACCCTGATGTTCGGGCAGCGGTCAGTGGCAGGGTCCCTGGCTCCCTGCCCCAGCCCCTGCTGCTCTCTCCCCTCAGCATCACGGAAGCCTTACTGTAGGTCTCATCTCGCTCTTCTCCTCACCCAGGGCAAAGACCATTAAGAACACTGCCTCAGTGAATCTAGAGTTGACTGCTGAGCAGTGGAAGAAGAAATATGAGAAGGAAAAGGAGAAGACAAAGGCTCAGAAGGAGACGATTGCAAAGCTGGAGGCTGAGCTGAGCCGGTGGCGCAATGGTTAGAGAGGTTTCCTGTGGGCGTGGGAGGCAGTGGAGGAGGAGGAGGCTGAGGGAGCCAGAGAGGGCCCTGTCTGGGGTGGTGTTCAAGGGCAGGCTGATCTCCAATGGGGGCCGTGTTTCTGGAGGAGTGCAGGAAAGCAGTCATGAGGGAAAGGGAGAGGGGGCTGACTACCCTTATCCCACCCCCAAAAAAGGTTGAAGGTCCACTTGGCAAGGGGGATGGAGGCCTGGAGGTCTTGGTGTTAAGAAGTGCGGGATGGGCCGGCCCGTGGCTTAGCGGTTAGGTGCGCGCGCTCTGCTGCTGGTGGCCGGGGTTTGGATACCCGGTGCGCACCGACGCACTGCTTCTCTGACCATGCTGAGGCCGTGTCCCACATACAGCAACTAGAAGGATGTGCAGCTATGACATACAACTATCTACTGGGGCTTTGGGCGAAAAAAATAAATAAATAAAATTATAAAAAAAAAAAGAAGTGCGGGAGGAAGGGCTCGTGGGTGCAGCTTTCTTTTCTCCCATCCCTCACCTTGTCTGCCCCTTTGCCAGGAGAGAATGTGCCTGAGACTGAGCGCCTGGCTGGGGAGGACGCAGCCCTGGGAGCCGAGCTCTGTGAGGAGACACCTGTGAACGACAACTCATCCATCGTGGTGCGCATTGCGCCCGAGGAGCGGCAGAAATACGAGGAAGAGATCCGCCGCCTCTACAAGCAGCTTGATGACAAGGTGAGGACAGTCAGGCAGGACACAGAGGTGAGCCCAGTGGGATGAAAAGTGAGGGATTAAAGAATTAGCTTATACTGCCTTTTTCTGATTTTAAAAGGGATAAATGCTCATTATTGAAAATGTGGAAGATAAATAAAAATATATAGAAGAAGGGACCGGCAAGGTGGCATAGTGGTTAAGTTCATGCACTCGGCTTCAGCGGCCCGGGGTTCACTGGTTTGGATCCCAGGCATGGACCTACACATGGCTCATCAAGCCATGCTATGGCAGCATCCCACATACAAAATAGAGGAAGACTGGCACAGATGTTAGCTCAGGGACAATCTTCCTCAAGCAAAAAGAGGAAGATTGGCAACAGATGTTAGCTCAGGGCAATCTTCCTCACAAAAAAAAATAAAATAGAAGAAAATTTGAATCATCATTCATCCCACCGTTCAGAAATAACACTATTAACATTTTACTTTTCCCCCTGCATATACCATGCAGTTGAGAGACACTGTATGGGTAAATCTTATTTTTTTCATTCTGCATTATATAATGAACAATTTCCCATTTCGTTAACAATTCTTCATAAAAATATTTTTAAATAGCTGCCTAACGGTCCACTTATCAAAATGTATTTAACTATTTATTTATTACAGGGCTTCTAGGTTTGTGGTTTTAGTCATCTGTTTTTGCTATTATACAGAACTCTGAGAAGACTGTCTTTGCCTCCTGTGCATAGAACTTTGCTTTTGAGTGATTTGATTAGAATGGAGCACTAGCATGGGATTTCTAGGTTAAAGCTTATGAACAGTTAAACGCTTTTGCTGTGTACTGTCAAGGTTTTACCTACTTCCAGGAAAAAAGGAATTTAACAGTGAGGGCAGGAGTCTAGGAAAGAAGCTGAGGAAAAGACTGCTTTCTAGGATGTAGGGTTTTTCTAACCTAAAGCCTAAACCATCTGGATTTTTATCAGGATCCTCCCTCTACTCCCAACCCTGTAAGTGCAGACTGGAAGGAGCAGCTTCCCTTCACTCCATCTTTCCTTCTTGCCTCCAACAGGATGATGAGATCAACCAGCAGAGCCAGCTCATAGAGAAGCTCAAGCAGCAAATGCTGGACCAGGAAGAGGTAACAGGGAGGAAGGCAGGACACGAGAGGAGAGGGGTGTGTGCTCACCCCTCTAAGGCAGAAAAAAGACCTTTCACAATCAGATGGAAGAAAGGGCATTCTGCTTAGGGGTTAGTCACCCCCTAACACTCTAGAATTCTGGGGACCTCATTGGGGCTTTGCTTAAAGCACAGATTTTGGAGTCCAGGTGCTTCTTCACTCTGTGGCCTTATTTCTAAGAAGCCTAAAGCCCACTTCCTCTTGCCTCTTGCTTTGGCCCTGCCTCTCTCCTAGAGCTGTGCCTGGGTGGGGGGCTTGGCTTCCCCAGACCAAGGGGCTGTAGAAGTCACTGGCAGCAGACTCCCTCACATGCCTCGCCTCTCCCTTGAAGCTGCTGGTGTCCACCAGAGGAGACAATGAGAAGGTCCAGCGGGAGCTGAGCCACCTGCAGTCAGAGAATGACGCCGCGAAGGATGAGGTGAAGGAAGTGCTGCAGGCCCTGGAGGAGCTGGCCGTGAACTATGACCAGAAGTCCCAGGAGGTGGAGGAAAAGAGCCAGCAGAACCAGCTTCTGGTGGATGAGCTGTCTCAGAAGGTGGTGAGTGGTCCACGAGCTCCCTGGCCTCAGAACATCCTACACATCCAAAGGGACCTCTGCTTCCTGCCAAGGCTGCGTCACATTTGCCCCTCGGCACTGCTGTTCTGTGTGTTGTGAGACCCTCCCCGACCCTGTCACTGCATTGCTCTCTGGACCCCTCTCTCTTCCAGACCCTTCTGCAGGGCCTGTGTTCTCCTTGTAGCAGCCCTCAGGGTCATGCATGATGGGAGAGCCTCTGCCTGGGCTGGGAAGGGGAGTAGGAAGGTGCCACTGGGATGACCTGAGGGCCGTCCCCAGGCCACCATGCTGTCACTGGAGTCTGAGTTGCAGCGGCTACAGGAGGTCAGTGGACACCAGCGAAAGCGAATCGCTGAGGTGCTGAACGGGCTGATGAAGGACCTGAGTGAGTTCAGTGTCATCGTGGGCAACGGGGAGATTAAGCTGGTGAGTAGAGCAAGAGGCAGCAGTCTTGTGCAGGGCATTCTGGTTCTGGGCACTGGTGGGAGAGGCAAGGTGGGCCAATCCAGGCCCTCAGGGATACTGAGAAAGGCGGGCCAAAGATCCGGGAAACACACCCTCAAACTAGACACAGGAAAACAAGTAGTAGTCTGCATAGACTCAACTGAAAATACACATTCTCAAGGGTGCTGGATAAAGAAGCAGTGGAGATGTGCTTATGGCAGGATTTAGAGATGGGGCGCAGAGGTAGGAATGGGAATGACAGATGCAAATCTGTGGCAGTGACAGTGACCCATTGGGGTGATCAAGCAGAACAGTTTGATTACGAAAGAAAATCATATTGCTTTATAATGTAGAAGAGGGTGTCTGTTGGAATTGGATCTTTAAGTGCAGATAGAGGAATTGAGTGTGAATGTCAGGTGACAGAGAGCTGCTAAAAGTTGTTCTGAAAACATCTGTCCCACCTGAGTCACTGTGTATGTGGCTGTGTGTGGGGATAGGCAGAGTGGAAGGGAATGGTAAGAGGCTTCCTCGCAGCAGAGAAGCACCTCTCCCCTCCTGTGCCCCCCACAGCCAGTGGAGATTAGCGGGGCCATCGAGGAGGAGTTCACCGTGGCCCGACTCTACATCAGCAAAATCAAATCAGAAGTCAAGTCTGTGGTCAAGCGGTGCCGGCAGCTGGAGAACCTCCAGGTTGAATGTCATCGCAAGATGGAAGTGACTGGGCGGGAGCTCTCGTCCTGCCAGCTCCTCATCTCCCAGGTGAGTGCCGGGGTGGAGAGCCTTTGGGGGCCAGGGGAGAAAGAGGGCGACTCTGTGGGTACGGATAAAACTCTTAGTACCCATGTTTATGTCAAGGGCCTAGGGTCAACTGAAGTCAAAGACTGAAGAGCTTGGGGTAGCAGGGGAGGGTCCAGGCCAGAGAAGTGAAGGTTCAGGGGGCTCCTGGCCTCTGAGCCCAGAGGGTCTAAAGGAAGGCTCTCCAGGGGAATGGCCCCCAACCCTGCATCCTCATGAAAGGCACAGCAGGAGGGGAGGGCTGGGAGGAAAGCTGGGGTTTACAGAGGTCTATGCTGCCCAGGGTGGTGTCCTTTGCTCCAACCATCTTCTTCCTCTCACCAACCCTTCCCCCACCAGCACGAGGCCAAGATCCGCTCGCTTACAGAATACATGCAGAGTGTGGAGCTGAAGAAGCGGCACCTGGAAGAGTCCTATGACTCCCTGAGTGATGAGCTGGCCAAGCTCCAGGCCCAGGGTGAGGCCTTCGAAACCTCCAGCCCACCCATCCTGGGCTCCGAGATCCCTGAGGGGGCGGGGAGGGAAAGTGACAAATGTCAGAGAAATGGCCGGACGGCACAAGCACCCAAAGTTGCAGACTGAAATCACAGGGGCAGCTCCCAGGCCGTTTAGCGAGCCTTTGCATGGAGCTTATTTTACATGAACTACAAACCCTCCGTTGTTCTCTGTCCCTGCTACATCAAGTTGGACTGTCCAGACCCAGAAGAACACCCCTGTGGGCCCTCTGGGTAGATGTCCCCTGCCCTGCCTGGAGCTCTGATCACAACGTGAAGCTCTGGAGGAGGAAGATGTGACGTACGCCATCTTCCTTTCTTTCCCTCAGAAACTGTGAATGAAGTGACCCTGAAGGACAAGGAGCCAGACACACAGGATGCAGATGAAGTGAAGGCGAGTAGGGAAGGTGGGGGGACGACTCGGGCCTGCCAGGGCTGTGCTGGCCTCCCCGAGCTGGTGTCTGGGAGTCTGGCTCTGATCTTGGGGTAGCTTGTTTGCAGAAGGCGTTGGAGCTGCAGATGGAGAATCACCGGGAGGCCCATCACCGGCAGCTGGCTCGGCTCCGGGACGAGATCAATGAGAAGCAGAAAACCATTGATGAGCTCAAAGAGTAAGAGTTCCCAAGGGCAGCTCCACACTCCACCCGGCCCTCTCGCCTTGCTGTGCTCACTCAAATGCTCCCTCTTGGCCCCGGATCCTGTTCTTGAACTTGCATGTGTCATTCCTCCAATAATGACACAACTTTGCAGCCCAACTCCAGGTATAAGGAGTAAGGACTAGTCCCAATCCTGAGGCTCTATGATTAGATAGCTCAGGGTCCTTCCTCGGTCGTGGAAACACGGCCTGAGTCTGCCTCTGATTCTGAAGGTAGATGCTTCAGTCCTGACTGGACTCACTCGTACAAGAAGGAAAATGTTTGAAGAGATGCTCTTCCCTTTCCCGTCATGAACATCTTTGTGTTCTCTCCATACCTCCATGCCCTCCATAGCCTGAATCAGAAGCTCCAGCTGGAGCTAGAGAAGCTTCAGGCTGATTACGAGAAGCTGAAGAACGAAGAGCATGAGAAGAGCACCAAACTCCAGGAGCTGACGTGAGTCCACGGCCATGGAGCTCAGATGCTACTCAGACTCGCCTGCAGAGGCAGCACGCACCGTAGATGTGAACATGGGGACCACAGGAAACAAGGCCTCAGAAGAATAATTTGATGGGTGGGAGGAAAAAAAAAGACTTTCAGCAATGACCTCTGTTGAATATTAGCTAACATGGAAAGATGTTTGTGATGTTCTTTTAAGTGTGAAAAGCAGGTTACAAAACAGTATGAATGATCTGTTCCCACAAAATTTATGTGAGATGTATGTGCATCGCAGAAAGAGTCTAGAATGATGGACCACCAGAGTGTTAACGGTGGTTTGATCTGTAAGTAGTAGGATCATCGGCTTTTTGTGAAACTCGTCTTCCTCAACCTTTTTTTTTTTTTTCTAATTTCTGCACAATGAACATGGGTAACTTGTATGACAAATAATAATAAAATATAGATCAAAGGAATGGAGGAAGGAGGAGAGACGGGGGAAGGGTAGTCCTGAGGGGTTCTTCTGTTTCCTTCTTCCTCCAGATTTCTGTACGAGCGACACGAGCAGTCCAAGCAGGACCTCAAGGGTCTGGAGGAGACAGTTGTAAGTGGTTTCCCTCTGTGCCAAGTTGACAGGGTTGGGGGGTTCCTTTCTTCCCTCCGATTTCTTCCTAACTCCATCCCTGCCATTCTGCAAAGTCAGTCTGTGGCACAATCCGGACACATCTTTTCCTAGAGGATGAGTGACTCACTTGACTAGATAGACTGAAGGTTCCGGTAATTTCGGAGCTAGAAAGTTGAACTGGTATTTGGCTACCCCGATTATTCATCATTCTTTCCAGGCCCGGGAACTCCAGACCCTCCACAACCTTCGCAAACTGTTCGTTCAAGACGTCACGACTCGAGTCAAGAAAGTGAGTGCCATCCTCGAGGTCTTCCCAGCCCCCATGTTCTCCTCCTGTCCTCAGGTTTCTCCAACCCCTTGGTGTCCAGTGGGGCTGGCTTGGCCCGGTCTGGGTGGGACCTGTTTGGTCATGGGACGGCCACGTCTTTTCCCTGTCTCCAATCAGAGTGCAGAAATGGAGCCCGAGGACAGTGGGGGGATTCACTCCCAAAAGCAGAAGATTTCCTTTCTTGAGAACAACCTGGAACAGCTTACAAAGGTTCACAAACAGGTGAGAGCAGGGGAAGGAGTGAAGGAAACTTCAGGCCCGGTGCCTAGGATCCTCGAATCCTCGGAGGCCCGTGGATTTAGGAAAATCTCCTCGCATGGTCTCCTTACTTTTCCTACTAATCCCTTCTTTATACCACGTTGGGTTCCACTTTGACCTTGTTCTTTGTTCCATGCCTGTTCTCCCTTCTCAAAGCTCCCAACCTGCTTCTGCTCAGAGTGAAATTCCCTAGGCCTATGGTGTTGGAGGGAGAGGCTGAAACTGAGGGAGGTGGCAGAGGCCTGGGGCTGTAACTATACACGAGGAATACTGGCCAGATTTAGCCAGAGGCAGGAAGCAGTGAGACAAGAAGTCAGGGAAGCTGGGCTTTCTCTTCTGGAGGGAACTCTATCTGCCTAGGCCTGGGGCAGGTGTGCAGAGAAATTAAATGATGGCCTCCAGGTGGCCTCACCAGCCCCGGCTGGGGCCAGTCAGAACTCTGTGTATTAAGTTGCTGCCTCTCTGTCCCCCTCCTTGCTGCTGCGGTTCCTTAGGTGGATGACTGGGTTTCAAAGGTATGGGGTGGGGAGCTTAGAAGGGGCAGTCCGAAGGAGTCAGGACAGGAAATGTTTGGTGCCCACAGAGCGGAAGCACCCTCGCTAGTGCCAGATATCTGAGTCTTGAAGAAGGGCAACAATCTGTCAACTGGCTCTTTCAACTGATTCATAAAATGAACCCCAATCTATACTTCATTCCCTTCCTTTCAAATCCACCTTCAAATTTGATTTAAACTCACATTCTCACTAAACTAGAGCTTAAATTTCTTTCCTCCCAGTGCAATGCCCAGCATGTATTGTAAATACTTCGTACATATTTTTTTTCCTTTCTTTTAATAATGAAAAAAAATCCCAGAACTGTAGCCCAGTGATAGTCTGCAGGGTTTATTTATGTCATTTGAGCCAGCAGAGGGCTTTACTACCATCTTTTTCCCTTTGCTTGTTATAAAACAGTGTAACCGTGTAGCAACATTACAGAAAAAATTGAAAGGCAGGGTAGAAACATTTGTAATCAGTTCTGCCATTCTGTTTTCATTTGTGTGTTCACTTTCCTTGTCTGTCCAAATGTGTCAAATTATGTTGTTTTTTCCCCAATTGTTTTTATTGTAGTAAAATACACATAAGATTTACTACCTTAACAATTTTTAAGTGTACAGTTCAGTGGTATTAAATATATTCATAATGTTGTGCAACCATCACCGCCATCCATCCCCATGACTCTCTTCATCTTGTAAAACTGAAACTCTGTCCCCATTAAACAATAACTCCTCACTCCCCCTCCCCCAGCCCTTGGCAACCACCATTCTACTTTCTGTCTCTATGATTTTGACCCCTCTAAGGACTTCATATAAGTGGAATCATACAGGAATTGTCCACACATGACTGGCTTATTTCACTTAGCACAGTGTCCTCCAGGTTCATCCACGTTGTGCCACATGGCAGGAAACCTCAGGCTGTTTCCTTGTCCCTCACTGAAGCCTCTGCCTCTGCTCTAAGTCCCAGAGACCAAAACTACTCACCTACAGGATAGAGGACTCCTTATAATCACCCACCTCAGCAGACACAAGACTAGAAAGGAAAACAAAAGAGATGTAGAAATTTCTCAGTTACCAGAATCTTAAATAGCCAGGGCTACAGCCCTATTACAAATTAAGCTAAGCTATTGTCATAGCAAAACATTGTTTATAATCTGTAGATTGTCCAAAATTAAAGGGGCACGCACATGTTCCTAGCTCTGCCCCTTCCTCCCAGTGGTCCCCATGACGCCAGTTTACCCGATATCTTCCAAGGCCGCTCCTTCAGCAATCTGTAGTGTCCCCAGTCGGGTGTGAAACCCTGTAAAAAGATCAGGAAGTCTTGCCGGGCCACTCGAGCTTAATTTAAATGGGGGAGAGACAGCCCAGGAAATCCTTGAATGTGAAGGTAATGAGCACAAATGTTTGTGAGATTTCAAACATTTTCTTTCCTTCCTATGGGGCACCGTGTGTATGTGTTTGGGTTGGGGGGAGGGGGACTCCTGTATTCCAGCTTCTGCTCCTGCTCTGCACTGCACCTAACCTGCACTCAATGCCATATCCACCCCCACCCTGCTACTGTGCTCTTGCTGCCCCGCCCTGTGCATGCCAGGGTGAGCCACCTCTGGGTGAGGGGTGCCTCATCCCCATGGTTGCCCTAGGGCTGTTGGTCTGGCACAGCTGTGAGATATTGTAGGGGTGGGGTGTCTAGGCCACGAGGAGACTGGGACAGGACGCTGTCACAAAAGTTCTGGGCTACGGTGGGCACATTTTGCTGCCCAGAAAATGATGTAACTTTTTAATGCCTGACCACCGTTTGCTCAGGGAGAAGGAAAGAACTGGCTAACAGTGCATTACGTAAAGGGAATGAGGCCTTTCAAGGAAACAGCGTGGTCTCCATCTTCTCTGACTTGGTTTTTCTTTATTCTCTCTCCCACCCGCACCCCGCACTCCACGGCTGGCTCTCTCTTGGGTCACTGCCTTTCTTTCGGCCTCTTCCCTTGGGCTCACCCCACAGCTGGTACGTGACAATGCAGATCTGCGTTGTGAGCTTCCTAAATTGGAAAAACGACTTAGGGCTACGGCTGAGAGAGTTAAGGCCCTGGAGGGTGCACTGAAGGAGGCCAAGGAGGGCGCCATGAAGGACAAGCGGCGGTACCAGCAGGAGGTGGACCGCATCAAGGAGGCCGTTCGGTACAAGAGCTCCGGCAAGCGCGGCCATTCCGCCCAGATTGGTGAGTGGGGAGTGGATGGCAGTAGGCCAGTGGGATTACCCCCCGGGGAAATTCAGCAGATTCCTAAGTGTCAAGCAACTAGATTATTGCTTCTTACTCTACCCCTCCCCCCAGCCTCACCCCCAAAAAGTATAAAAGTAAATTCTCTTATAGGCAACTCAGTTTCAACTCCCGCTAAGTGACCTCAGGGACCAGGGCACTGCAGGGTGACAAATAGCCTCCTCACGGTCATTCTTCTTCCTTTACCATAGCCAAGCCCGTCCGGCCTGGCCACTACCCAGCGACTTCACCCACCAACCCCTATGGCACCCGGAGCCCTGAGTGCATCAGTTACACCAACAGCCTCTTCCAGAACTACCAGAATCTGTACCTGCAGGCCGCACCTAGCTCCACCTCAGACATGTAGTGAGTGACCACGGGCCTGGGCTAGAGTCCCAGCCCAAGGCTTTCTACACCCTATAAGGCATAAGGTTAGGTCAGTTATTGGGTGAGACTTAATTCTTTTCCTAAGTGGTTTATTTCTAATCCTTCTTGACTTCACACCTGCAATTACAAGGTGGGCTTCTGCCCTCCCAGCCTGCGGCCATGTTTGTGGTCCTTTGGGGATGGGAGGGGTGTATGGCAACAGCCTTGAGGTGGAGTGTATTCGTGGTCCTCAGAATCGTGGGGGCTGGGTGCCAGAGGCTGCATCTCTTTCCTCTGCTCCATCCAGCTTTGCAAACTCCTGTACCAGCAGTGGGGCCACGTCTTCTGGCGGCCCCTTGGCTTCCTACCAGAAGGCAAACATGGACAATGGTGAGTGAAAAAGATGGGTAACCAGCTTTTGGGATCCCCAGGGCAAGTTGAAAAGTATAAAAAAGTAAGTGGCCCCGTACCTGTGAGTTTGAACTCTGCCCATCCCTTCAGGATCTTGGGCTCTGAGGAGTGGACGCCTCCTATTGCTGTTCCTGTCCCCTCCCTCCCCCTCTTTCCCCTCCTCCTCTCCTTCCTGAGGGCTCAGGGAGGCTTTTTCTCAAACAAAAGAATGATGCGGCTTGAGGTAGTTAAAGATAAAGTGCCACAGACCCAGATGGCAGTGATGCTCCAGGGTCTTCCTTTACCTCTCAGCGATTAGGATGAGAGAGGGTTTGGGGAGACTGTTTCTAATGCCCAATCTCCTTTTTTCTCTTCTAACCCTGTGTCCTCCACGATGATCTCTTCAGGAAATGCCACAGATATCAATGACAATAGGTACACCTGTCCCCACTGCTCTTGGGTTCTCTGGGTGGGACCAGCAGAAATGATTAAATTTCCCCCATGCCCTACGTAGAGGTTCCCCGGAGCCTGCAGGGAAGGAGGAGGAAATGAGGACCATTCTTGCCGGCACAGTGTTGGTCCGGAGATGCACTCATTCCCCTGCCTCGTGCAGAACACCATCCCCTCCTCCATCCTATCTGGCTTCTCCTCATTCCAGTTATGGGGGCTGGACTTCTGGTGACCTGGGTTTCTCTGCTAGCTTTGAGAACTTGGTGACCTTGGGCAAGTCAGCTCCATCTCTCTGGCCTTGATTGTCCCTGTATTCCCGGAAAACCCGAATGGTCCTCGCCCCTCGTTATCTCCCAGGGAGGCTCTGAGAGCCAAGTGACTGAATGCTTTCATGATTGTGCTGGGTCTCTTCTTCCAGGAGTGACCTGCCATGCGGCTATGAGGCTGAGGACCAGGCCAAGCTTTTCCCTCTCCACCAAGAGACGGCGGCCAGCTAATCGCCACGTGGACTGCCGCATACCTGCACTTTCAGGTAGCTTCAGGCTGCTTCCTCTGACCAGCTTCAGGTTGCCTCCTTTCTTGCCCTCAGGCTCTTTGTTTCTCCTGCTTTTTAAAAATCACCTCAAAACTTTCACTATCTAGCTGTCCCTCAACTCCTGCTTTCCTCTCCTAGGGGCAACATCCATGCTGCCCCATGAGCTCTGGACACTGACCTCCCCTCCCCACTGATGCTTTCCCTTGGGCCATAGTAGTAACCACAGTACTGCCTCTCTGCCACTAGGGGTCACTGCCACATGTCAAAAGAAGTGAGCCAGGGTGGTGTCCCTCTAGAGCCACACACAGGTCACAGGATGCAGTAGATGTTAGGAGAACTTGGGAGATCATCTCAACCCTCCCTCAGCCTCCATCTTAAAATAATTTTGGATGGATAGGTATTTTCTGAACTAAGACATCTCTAGTGAAGGAGATGTTTGATTTACTCCTGCACCTGTGTCCTGTACTCCTCATATCTATGTCACCAGTAAGCTTTAGGAGGTGCCCCGGGAAGTCTAACCTTTTGTCTCTCCAGCTGGGGTGTCAGCACTCCCCTTCCATCTTGCTCAGTGGAGGTAGAAGCAGCTGTGTCCCCGCTCCAAACCCCGCTTCTCCAGCTCTGTCCCCAGGTCCTCTCCTCTAGCAGCTCAGGCACCTTCCAGTTCTTGTGTGTCACCAGGCTTCTCGCCATGGTGGCTTTACGGCCCAGAACTGGGCACTGGGATCCTGTTTTATTGTCCACTTTGGGGCCCTGGAGAGCTAGAAACAAGAGAACATGGCCAGTCTCTTACTGGGTGGCATCCAAGCCGAGCCCTCTCCAGGGGTTTTCCAGAATAGTAGGCCGGGTGCACACAGGCAGACAGCATGAGAGGCGAAGAAGTCGGAAAGGGGAAGGAGGGGTTAGGCGAGGTCTGGGGTGAGGAGCAGGGCCTGGGGGTGGTGCCGGGCACTGGTATTAAAGGAACAGGACTGTGAACCAAAGTTTGTACAAATGCCACCCTGTTCCCGGTCGGTGGCTGGGCTGCAAGGCGATTCCTCACAACCTCTTTCTCTTTCTTCCCCAGTTTCTAAGAGGGACTGAGGCCTCTTCTCTCAGCATGCTGCAAACCTGTGGTCTCTGATACTATCTCCCTCCCTGCCCTGTTGTTCGACTGTACCACGTTTGACGTCCTCTCTTCCTCTGTATCTCTTTGTACTCTGTATCGATATATCAAAAGCTGCTGCTACGTCTCTCTCCTCTCTGTCTTACTCTCTAGTATCTAATGATGTATTTAGCAATTTCTAAGCATAGTGGACCCTCCTCATTTGGGGCAATAGGAGGAGGGTGAATGTTTCTTCTTTCTCTCATATATGCGTCCCTCACACTGAGTGGTGTTAGTCACGGAGATGATGAAAGGAAAAACGGGAGCTAGAGGGCTGTGATCCTTCACACACTCACACACACACGCACGCGCACACACAAAGCCTTAAGCAGAAGAATGTCGTAGCATCATAAGAAGATACAGAAATAGACTCTTCCTCCCTCCTCTTTCACATATAGCACAGGGGAGGGTAAAATGGAGGGACTGCTAAATTATGTGTCGAATTTTCTTCATACATCCCTCACCTGAACCAGGGGGTTCTGGGTGTGCACCTCTGCCCTCCGAAGTCTGCCTTTTGCCTCCCCCTTCCCGTTCCCCTGGACAACCAAGAATATGGATTGCTCAAGGGAATTTCTCCTCAAAACTCCTTGTCATATTTTCTACCCCAGAGCTCATGACCACAATCCAGAGTTGCTTAAAAATATTTTGAAAAGTTGAGGAGGCAGACCCTTCCCAACAGTCTGTCAGATGGTTCCTCATCTGTCCATGGTGTTAGTTAGAGGCAAGTATAGTCAAAATGATGGCATCTTAGGCTTTGGGGGGTGAACAGGCTGGGAAATTCCTAACTATTTTTTGCCACAGTGATGAGCTGGATTCCTTTCTCTGTCCCATATTGGGCTGCATGTTCCTGCCATCTCCACCTTTTGGTTTGGGGGCTTGCAGTTCTTCCTTTCAAGATGGAGCCTGACTTTTCCCCAATATACATTATAATTTTTTTTTCACAAAGAATTCCTTCTATAATATCTCCCTCTGGTATTAAGTGCACTTTAAAGAAAGGGGCAGGGCAGATTTTCCAGAAGTGGAGGAGCCCAAGGGCTTGACCCCGGGGGCTCTTCCCCCAGCCCCTACCCGTGTAATTGGGAAGACTATTGTTTGAGTTTCACATGGTGCTAAGGTGGCTTTACAGGTAACTGCAGGGATGGAGAGTGGAGGCCACAAGCTGGTCCAAATCAAGAAAGAAAGTCTGGTATCCAGATACCCAGTCTTATTTAGGATGGAAGAACAGGGCAGCAGGGCAACCCGTCATCTAGCTTCTCAGTCAGCAAAGAAAGCTCCGTGGAAGTGCCAGCTGGTGAAGACAGGCTGTATTGGCCCGTGACTCCTTCAAGGGAAAAAGTCCCTTCTCCCTTTACCAATTAAGGAGAAATGCAGGGAAACAAATACCAGAGGGGTGTGGAATAAATCCAAGGCGGTGACAGTTAAACATCAGTCAAACATCAAGTCAAACAAATCTTACATAGAACCCTAAAATAAATAATAACTAAGCATGATGCAGACGTGGGCAGTTTGCATTTTGTTTATTTGGTGGAAAATGCTGCATTCGTCGAGGAGCCCTTGAACAGTCCTCAGAGACCCCGAGGGTTCTGTAGAGGAGTTTGGAAACCAGTGTTCTGAGGAAAGGGCTTCAATCTGGCTCCCCTGCCCCAAGCCCACAACTCATAGCAAAGAGGGACTCGGGGGATGATGAGCCACGCTGTCTCCAGACCCAGTCGGAGAAGAAGGAAGATACTTGTGCACCTGTAGACTTGGGCCAATACTTGCCAGCAGGGTGCCTAAGAACCCAATGGGCTTTATACAGTCTTGTCACCAAATGATTCTTTTAAAATATGTAAGAAAATGTGAAGGTGCAGGGCAGATGAGGAGAGAGGTGACAGACGGAGCAGCCTTCCCTTTAGCAAGATGTAAGGGAAATATAATTCACTTACATAAATAAGAAACAGTATGTTACACACGAAGCCTTCACCAGAAGGCTCACTCTACGTCCTCCTCCTCCTCCTCCTCCCCCCGACCCTCACCACATCCCTTTCAAAGAGCCAGGGTGACCACCAGGGGCACCTGGCCTGCCCACTCACATCTGCCAAAATGTTGCATGCCAGCGTGGAAGACAGACCAAACTGCACAACCCCCAGTGTGTATTTACTTGATGTACATAGATACCTTTAAAATAAAATAAATTCAATGATAACTCTACGGTGTTGTAAATCTTTATCCCTCCCCAGTCCCACTCCCTTCCTTGCATGTAATGGCATTTGACAGTGTGGTATATATCTTTCCAGATGTTTTTCTATGTATTTACACAGTTTTTTTTTTCCCTATTTGATAATATATCCTAGAGATATTTTCATGTCAATATACATAGATTTACCTCACTAAAAATATATATATACATAGGGGGCCAATCCGGTGGTGCAAGTGGTTAAGTGCATGCACTCTGCTTTGGCAGCCTGGGGTTCGCAGGTTCAGATCCTGGGTGCGCACCGATGCACCGCTTGTCAAGCCATGCTATGGCAGCGTCCCATATAAAGTAGAGGAAGATTGGGCCGGCCCCGTGGCTTAGCAGTTAAGTGCATGCGCTCCGCTGCTGGCAGCCGGGGTTCAGATCCCGGGTGTGCACCGACGCACCTCTTCTCCGGCCATGCTGAGGCCGCGTCCCACATACAGCAACTAGAAGGATGTGCAGCTATGACACACAACTATCTACTGGGGCTTTGGGGGAAAAAAATACATAAATAAAAATTAAAAAATAAATAAATAAAGTAGAGGAAGATGGGCATGGATGTTAGCTCAGGGCCAATCTTCCTCAGCAAAAAAAGAGGAGAGTTGGCATCGGATGTTAGCTCAGGGCTGATTTTCCTCATAAAAAAAAATTGAAAAAAATATATATAACTTTTCATAAACTTATCCTATAATTTTTTCAACCATTCCACTATTGGTGGACATCTATCTAGGTTGTTTGTAATTTTTAACAAAAATGGTATCCTTTTTCTTCATTTTTTTCCCCAGACCATCACCTCAGTCCCAGCATCAATTCCATCCCGCTCCAGCGTGTCTCCATCCTTCTCTTGCCAACAGTTCAATTCTCTTGTCCCAGGATCATCTACCACCATCACCCTTCTCACCCCTATTTAGAGCATACCCCTTTCCGTCTTCTCTGTTCATACCTCAGAGCTTCTGAGCTGAGTGGAGGAAATCGCACAACAACAACACTGGGGCAACCAAACACAGCCTACAGAGCTAACTGGACCTTTGTGCTGCTTCACGTTCCTCCTGTGTATCTCTGCTCAGTTTCCTCTCCCACCCGCAGAGCAGCTGCTCTAAACCCTCACTCCTCAAGATCCCTTCTCACCTCCTCTCTTAGGCAACAACTTTGTCTGCTTTAAAGGGAAAGTTAAGGCGTCTGAGCATGAAATTCATTTCATCTCCTCCCACACCTACACACTTACCTATATCTGCACAGATCCTTTCCTTTCTCCCTTCTGACAAGTGATAAATCTCCCGTCTCTGGACTAAAGCAAGTCTCTTCTGGATCCTTCATTCTTGAGATACTTACATACACCCAATATATAAAATAACTAAAAGTGATGCAGACTTGGACAGATTGCATCTTCTTTGTTAATTTCTGTTTGAATGATTTCTTCCCTTCTCCTTGTAAGGTCCCCTTTAAAAGTGTATTTTCTTGGGTATTTCTGTATAAGTGACTCCCCTTCTTGTTTTCTTACAATCAAATTTCCTGAAAAAGTCCCAGGCTTTCCTCACCTCCCTTCCTCCTTTCTTCACCTCCCTTCCTCCTTTCTTCACCTCCCATTCATTCCTTAACCCACTTGGCTCTGGCTCTTGTTCTGCTGAAGCTGCTTTCCAAAGGTCACTAGTTGCCAAATACAATGGGCACTTCTCCATCCTTGTCTTGCTTCACCTCTCCTTGACATTTGCCACTGCTCTCCACTCCTTCCTTCTTGAAGCTCCTGTGACCCTGCTCTTCCGGCTCCTTTTACTTCCCTGGCCACTCCTTCTCAGTTGCTGGTCTACACCAGGGGTCAGCCCTTGTTTTTTTGTTTTTTACCTTAAATAATGATATATATATATATATTTTTATTGAGGTAACTGATTTATAATACTATATAAATTTCAGGTGTACATCATTATATTTCGATTTCTGCGTGGACTACATCATGTTCATCAGCCCTTGGTCCTTTCCTTGCTCTCTCTGGGAGGTGTCATTCACACCCATAGATTCCACAACAATAATTAAATCTGTATCCCCAGCCCAGAACATTCTGCTGAGCTCTGGGCCCATATGTTCAGTTGCCCTCAGGTGCCTCAAAACACGTTCCAAACTGAACTCATCTTTTCGCCAAAACTGCTCTTTTCCTGTCACCATCATCTCTCTTCACCTTAGCCAGAAGCCTGGGATTCATTGTCAACGTCTCCCTTTCCCTCAAACCCCACATCCACTAAGAATTTTCCAAACTGACATCAAACTATACCTTTCGATGCCATCCCCTTCTTTCCATCCCAACAGCCACTCTTTTAGTTCATCATCTCATGCCTAGACTTTTGCAACACTCCAGTCACCCTCCAGAATGATGCCTGAGTGGTCCTTCTAAAAGCACATTTAATACATCAAAACCACTTAAAGGATCGCCTACTTCGTAAAGAAAGTCTTTCGGGTTAGCCTCAGGCGGGAGTACTCCTAGAAACTGGGCAAAACCGGATGGCGGCGACCTTGCAACAAAGCAGCCCCAGACCTAGGCGGGAACCAGGCCAGCCAGGCCGCATCCCCTTCGTCTCGGTGGCCGCTCCCAGTCCCCAGGGGCCACGCCTCCGCGCGCCACCCCAGCGCCAGGTGAGCCCACCCTCGGCGGGCGTTGGGCGGCGGGGGGCGGCGCCATCCCCGCCCCGCCCCGGTCGCGCGCCCGCCGGCAGCCTCCGGTCACGTGACGGCGGCGCAGGTGAGCACCGCTTCCGGGGTCGGGAGCCTGCCGCGAGGCCGCTCCCGCCTCTGCTCGGTCGGGTGTGCGGGAGACTATGGCGTCCTCCTCGGTCCCGCCGGCCACCGCACCCGCGGCGACAGCGGCCCCCGGCCCGGGTTTCGGCTTCGCCTCCAAAACCAAGAAGAAGCATTTCGTGCAGCAGAAGGTGAAGGTGTTCCGGGCGGCCGACCCGCTGGTGGGCGTGTTCCTGTGGGGCGTAGCCCACTCGGTGAGACCCGGCCCTAGCCCCCCGCGGCCCTTCCGAACCCCTCAGCTCCTGCGCCCCGGGCGTCCCTGCTTCCAGGCTCCCGCCTCCGGAGCCCCTCGCGCTACAACTTTACCCCTCACCCCGGCTGTCTTGGTCCCCGCCCACCACCCCCAGGTGTGCCCCCAGCGTTATCTTCTCGCTCTAGACCTTTTTTGAACGTTGACTTTTGTCTCCCCCTCGCCCTTTACTCCACTCTAATTCCGCCTTCCCCACCTGAAATGCAGCTCCCTGCCTCCTTCCTGCCAGGTCCGGCTCAGCCCCAGGCTGCGGAGACCGGCCAGGACCCGGCTCGGCTCCGGCTGGAAGGACATTAGGGGGAGTGGCTCCTCAGGGTTGGTGGCGGTGAGGTCTCTTGTGAGAGAGTGTGTGTGTGTGGAAGGGGAGCAGGGTGAGGGGGATCGTTCACTTTACTTTCCACCTTGCTTTCCAGCCGCCGTCCTTGACTTATGAACCTTGGCTTTGGGGGAAGCTCTACGTTTCCGGGACCTTTTAATCCTGCTTGTCCCTTCCTTTCTCTTCCAGAGGTACAGCATTCCAGAGAAGCTGGCCCACCCTGAGCCTAGTGGTTGCACTCACTCAGGACTTATGTATATATGCCCTTTGGCCTTGACTGCCTCCCCAGTGCTGGCTGGAGTGATGGTGTTTGGTGTGAGTGGGGGTCATCTTTGACCAAAGAGATGACTGAGGACCTCTGGTCCTGGGGACGCTATGGTGGTGAACTTTAGAAGCAGGGAACTGCTGTGTGGATTTGTCCTGGGAATCAGGAGGCCAGAGACGCTAGTGTATCTCTTTTCCTGAGGATGCCACAGGAGAAGGTATGTGGCAGGCAGTATTTTATAAATCAACTTCCTTGGATGGTGACCGTCATGGCAGGATTGTGGAGGTGGAAGGGGGTGAGGAAGAATACAATTTTTGTCACATTCTTAATTTGTGGCTGAGAATGTCATTTGGGGTCCGTCAGCTCCCTTTGGCATTTGTAGCTCTGTGGAGTGCTCCCAGCTCCCTGGGTGGTAATGTCTTATCAGCCAGTATCCAGTCTAAGGCACTTGGTATGGGCAAGGCTGGTGGAGGTAGAGCTGCCTCTCATATGTACCTTCGAGGTGACTTATCTATCCCTTTGGGAGGGGTTTGGGGAATCACACAGAAGACCTGCCTCAGCTTCCCTAGGTATATATACTTTAGTGTCAACACCCCACCCTCCAGCCAACACACATTTCCTTCAAGTGTCTGTAATGGAGAAATTCCTTGAACATATGTCTTAGTGATGATTCAGCCTGCTTAACAGCAGGTGGCGAGGAGGGGGCATGAAGAACTATAGTTGAATTTTAGGCTAGGAATCTCAAGTGGCTTTTTTTTTTCCTGGAGCAATATGTTCTGTCCTCCTTTTCTGCCGAGAAGGAGAGGAGCTGGGTTTCGCTGCCGTGTGTGGGATTTAGGTTAGCCTGCGCTTCGTAACCTCTGTGGGACGATCAAGTAAGGATAGGCAAGGCATACGTGTATTCAGTTAATAAACACTCTGGACCACCATGTGCCCAACATTGTGCTAACTAGGATCCTGAGAGATACAGACGACTAGAACTGGTCCTTGCTCTGGAAGAGCTCACAATCTAGGGGGGACTTAAATAAACTAGAGACCAGAACCATATGACAAGTGCACTATTAAAGGTGGGTGAAAGATACTGTGGCAACACTGGGGAGAAAGCACAGCTCCTCAGGATTTCTTAGTACAGGAGCTCCCTTTGCACCCTGAATTAGCAGACTCCTGATTCTGGGGGCTGAGAAGAGCATGTGATGCTTGCATCCTTTGGGCTGTGGGTTGATTTGACTTTAGTGAACAGACTCCTAATGAGCTCATATCCTCCGTCTGCCTGCATTCCCTCTGAAATCAGCTGCTCTTCTTTTACCTTACACCTAGGCAGGTGGGGACCTACTGCAGAGAACTGGGTCAGAGTGGTCTGGAAGGACTGGTCCTGTTTGTAAGCAGATGCCTCCTGCAGGATATGGCCATTTCATTCTTGTTGCTGTTGACCCGTCAGCAGCCATTAACTCTTGTGTACTTTAAAAATGCCTTTTGTTTTGTTTTTAATGGAGCATGGAACTGTTTGTCTTGAGTGTCTTGAGTCTGCAGAGGGTGTTTTTTTCCTCTAGAATTTCTCACAGCTTTAAAAATAGTCCTGAGTTGCTCACAGGGTTTGCCTAATATAAAATGACTGTTGTGAGCATGAAGTTCCACGGGGGTGGAAGTGTGAGGGGCTGTGTGTGAGGGTTGCTTACTGCAGTCCTTGTTGGGCAGCAGAAGAGGTCAGACACATTCTCTCACCTCTGCCAGGTATATGCATAACCAGTGTTGTTTTTTTTTTTTGTGAGGAGGACTAGCCCTGAACTAACATCTGATGCCAATCCTCCCCTTTTTTCTTGAGGAAGATTGGCCCTGAGCTAACATCCATGCCCATCTTCCTCTGCTTTATATGGGACGCCGCCATAGCATAGCTTAACAAGTGGTGTGTCGGTGTGTGCTCGGGGTCTGAACCTGCTAACCCCGGGCGCGCGCACCTAACCACTTGCGCCACCCGGCCGGCCCCTGCATAACCAGTGTTTTTAAAGGAGTGAGGTTTGAGTTGCCCTTTTCTGACTCTTTCCCATACACAGTGTATAAGTAGCTCTCCACACCCCTACTCACTGCCTCCCTGTTCTTGTTTTGGTTTATCAGATCAATGAGCTCAGCCAGGTGCCTCCCCCGGTGATGCTGCTGCCAGATGACTTTAAGGCCAGCTCCAAGATCAAGGTCAACAATCACCTTTTCCACAGGTATGTGGGGATCCCCGCCCTTCTCATTTCAACCTTCCTAGAAAAGAGTAATAAATAATTTTAAGAGTTAAGATTCAGTAACTTGAATGTTTTCGATTTAGAAGGAAACTGACAAGTTGTATTGTCTAATCTCCTTCCACATGCAGAAATTGTGCAAAGAAAGCATTAAAATAATCTCCAATGTTTCCTAAACCCTTATGTGTGTGTACTAGTTTATCTCTCCTCTAGCCTGGTAATTCCAGAGAGGAAATATATTTAGATGCCATTACTATTAGCTTCTGATACAGACTCCCTGAAAGAAATACCTCCGTCCTCTAAGCTCTCCTAGTATCAGAAGATGCCATTCAAAACAGTGGCACCTATTGCTGATTTTAGGATGTCTAACTTGCATGACGTTTGGGAAATGCTGCGGTTTGGATGGGCAGTAGATCCTGGTTCTGCTGAAGCCACTTGCCAGTGATATGACTCAAGCAGGTCACTCAGCCACCCTGAGTCACAGTCTCTCCTTCTATGAAATGGGAATAATATATCTTTAAAGGACCTCACAAGGGTTTTATGAGAATCAAATAAGGTAATATATGTGAAGGTGCTTTATAAACTGTCAAGCTCTATGTAAATGTAAAGCGATATTGTTACTTTGTTTTCTTACCTTGAAAACCCCTATTTCAGGGAAAATCTACCCAGTCATTTCAAGTTCAAGGAGTATTGTCCTCAGGTCTTCAGGAACCTCCGTGATCGATTTGGCATTGATGACCAGGATTACTTGGTGAGAGTCCTTTATGGGGTGAGGGTAGTCCTTTCTCCCTAACAACTGGGGAATCCTTGGGACAGTCATGTTTGGAGAATCGAGAGCCTTGGCAAGTATTATTCTTTACCTTTTTGTGATCACAGGAATCTTCAAAAATCTGATGAAAGCTATAAACCCTGTCCTTGGGAAAAAATGTAGATACATTAAAAATTTTTCTTTCAATTTCATTCAGTCCATATATGGACACCACATTAAGAACCCTTGCTCAACCTCTTACACCAGGGTTTTATCCACTTTCTGATGCATTCGTTTGACCATTATCCTATAACTTGCATCTCCATATAAAGGGGCAGGAAAAGATCTCTGGCCTCTTCTGTGTCCCCAGGTGTCCCTCACCCGAAGTCCCCCGAGTGAAACTGAAGGCAGTGATGGTCGCTTCCTCATCTCCTATGATCGAACTCTGGTCATCAAGGAAGTATCCAGTGAGGACATTGCTGACATGCATAGCAACCTCTCCAACTACCACCAGGTCAGGCCTCTCTTCAGCCTCGTTCTTTCTCTCGGCTCCTCCCTACTCATAGTGCCAGAGCACATGGGGAGACTTCCTATCCCTTTTCCTCCCTACAACCCATTTTTCCCCAAGAAGCACTTGATATCATGTTTTTGAAAACTAGGAATTTCAAAAAAAAGCCTCTCCGTACCTATTTGTGTTTGACTAAATAGAAGAATTTAGTAATGTCCCTTATCATTTGGTACTTAACGATCTCAAACCCTGTGGATTGATACATAAAGCACACACATATAGCAAAGTATTAACTATAGAGTAAGTCAGAATTAGGTGAGGTGTTAACACCAAATATACTATTAGGAATAAATGCAGTTTGGGGAGAAAACCAGAATAAGTGCACAACTGGGATAAATTGGAGGGGAAAAGCCATGATTATATCCAGCCCTAAGTGGGATTAGGGAAGCTATTCTGTCTGATCAGATTAAATTGGAATATGGAGTTTCTGGAATATTTTGGTGATGAAAACACTGCCCAAATATCTTTCTACTGAAGAAAAATCTCACCAAAATCAATGAGCAATGAATGAATGAAAGACTCTAAAAGGAGTCTTTGGTTTATTCAGCAAATATTGAATGTCTCTTATTACTAGGCCCTATGTTACGCAATGGAGAAAGAGGTGAATGAAATGGTTGTGGTCCTTAAGGATCTCTTGGTCTAATGGTGGAGACCAGTAAGCTAGCATTAGCACACAGCAAGATGTGTGCAATAGTAGAGGTATGTACAGAATGCTCTGGGGCTGCAGAGGAAGAGCATCTCAGCTCACCTAGGGGAAGAGGTGCACTGGGAGGCTCAAAGAGAGAGTTTTAGAGAGAGTTATCATAGGAGCTGATTCTTGAAAGACTAGTAGAGACTAACCATTGGACAAAGTGGAAGAGAGCATTCTAGGCAAGGGAAAACAGCACTTGTGAAGACACAGAAACATGAGAGAGCTTGGTGTTGGGGAACTGCAAAAAATTCAGTGTGGCTGGGATATGGTATTGGCGAAAAATAGTTAGGTAGGAGCCAGATTGTGAAGGGTTTTATAAGCCACGCAAAGAGTTTGGGCTTTATCCTGAAGGCGGTTTGTAGGGGAGTGATATATATGTTACTTAGAAATAACACCAAGCATTTTAGGGAATGGATTGGAGGGGGGAATACTGGGAGTGGAGATACCTGTTAGGAGGTAATTATAATAGTCTAGGTGAGAAGTGACAGGGGCCTGGAGGAGTGATGGCGGTGGAGATGGAAAGGAAGACCTATGGGAGAATTGTGGGAATTAAGGCAAAGGCACCTCCAAATTCCTGGTTAGGGATAACTGGGTACCCATTCACCAACAGTTGGGAAGCAGAAAAAGAAACAGGTTTTTGGAGGAAGACAGTTCTGATTTAGACATGTTGAGTTTGGGGTTTCTGCAGTTCATCCAGGTACAGATGTCTAGCAAGTGGTTGAGGTACAGAGTTCAGGAAAGAGGATGAGACTAGGAGTCTAGATTTGAGAGTTATAGGTCAATAGAAATTAAAGCCACGAATATAGATAAGATTATTGAAGGGAAGTGTGGGGTGAAATGAAAAGAAGGTTGAGGACAGAATCTTAAGGAGCAAGAAGAGAAAAGAGCCTATAAAGGAGACTCAGAGTAGATGGACGCTCTTCATTATTTATGCCCTACTTCATTCGATACAGGATTTGAGGACAGAGAGGAGGAGGAGCAGAAGAGTGGTATGATGGGAGCGGAGGGTGAAGAGAGTTTTAAGGAGAAATGAGTCAGTAGTATCAAGTGCCACCCAGTTGAAATATGACAATCACCAGATACCCATTGGATTTGGCAACCGAGGGATTTGGGGGAGGGAGGAGCAGAGAGATTTCAGAGGGGAAAGGAGAGTATAAATCTCATTTCACTGATTTGAGGTGTGAATGAGAGATAGGAAGTAGATTGATTGCTGACTAATTTTCTGAGAGGTTGGCTATGAAGAGAAGTAGGCAGCATTACTGAGAGAGAGAGATGGTAGCATTAAAAGAGGAATTTTGTTTTTAGAATCCAAATTTATAGGCCATCATGCAAACATTTTTACTGTGAGAATCTAGCCCACCAAGAAACATTGGTTCTAGATAAAATCATTTCACTGAAAAGCAGAGGTAATTTCTAATCCTGGTTCTGTGACCACTTGCATACAAAAAGGATAACACCTACCTTGCCCATCTCAAAGAATGATAAAGATGAAATGAGCGAAGGCACTTTAAAATTTAGAGATATTATACAAATGGAATAAATCAGAGGAGATGTGGATTCAGAAACTGTATGAATAACCAGGGGCATCTTTAGAAACACCCCCCCCCACCCTTTGACCTTCTTGTAACCTGTCTACTTGAAGTTTTCTGCCCCACTCTGGAATGGTAGTGTTTGAATTCCCATCCCTGGGTTTTGTATATCTGCTGCTCAGCCTCTCCGCATTCCTTCCTCCCTTCCACCCCAGTACATCGTGAAGTGCCATGGCAACACACTGTTGCCCCAGTTCCTGGGCATGTACCGAGTCAGCGTGGACAGCGAAGACAGCTACATGCTGGTGATGCGCAACATGTTTAGCCACCGTCTTCCTGTGCACAGGAAGTATGACCTCAAGGTAAGGAGAGGAGAGCCAGGCCTGAGGGGGAGGCTCCTGATGACCTGAGTGTGGAGAAGGGCCTGGGAGGGCACTGGCTCATTCATTTTAAGGAAAGAAGACTGGGCTTGAGCACGCATCTTAGGAGCTGGATGCTGACTGTTCCTTTAGCCACTTCTGCTGACTTGTCTTTGGGTCTCTCCACAGGGCTCCCTAGTGTCCCGGGAAGCCAGCGATAAGGAAAAGGTGATACTGATTTTAGGTGATAGGGTGAGGGATGGGGGAAGGCAGGTGAAAGGGATCTTCTTAGGATCAAGAGGTAGGGATCACCAGCTATTTATTCTTATTTTAATCTACTGAAAAAGATGTAAACTTGTACTGATCCAGGGATTGTTTGGAAGGGGCAGGGGGAACAGCTGCTTTGTCACTGGCATCGGTTATTCCATGTGGAAGGTTTGGGGATGGGTGAGGATGCCAGACTCTTAAGAGCAAAATGCTTACCCTCCACCTCCCACTCTGGACTCTCCTATTCAAGCAGCTGTTTTTTCTTAAGAAGAAAGAAAAGTCAGCATGGAGAGTCTTTATTGAAAACTATAAGCACAAAGTAGTGGGCTGTGACTTGGGGTACAGCTGCAGTGACTGGTCTGGGGAAGCCCCTGGAGGTGAGAACAAACTCTGGGGCAGCACCCCAGTGTGGAGTTGGGTGAGAGGGATCATGAGAGCTCCCTCCCCTAGAGGCCTCTTGAGTTGGAGACAGAGCCCTAGATAGAGCAGGGTCCTCTGGGACCTTGGGGGAAAGGATATATTGCCAAGATGTCCCTTTACCTGTTCTCAGGTTAAAGAATTGCCCACCCTTAAGGATATGGACTTTCTCAACAAGAACCAGAAAGTTTACATTGGCGAAGAGGAGAAGAAAGTATTTTTAGAGAAGCTAAAGAGAGATGTGGAGGTAATGACTGGGGTGTTCTGGGAAGGGCTTTGTTTCCTTTTTTGCTCCCCAGAGGTTAGCTCTCTCTCCCATTCACGATATGAGGGAACTCCTCCCCTTCCCTTTATTCTTTGGGCTCTCTGCATGTAGGGGAGTTGGGTATGAGATGTGAAACCCCCCTAGAGGGGACCCATGGATGGGGGAACTGGAATGAGCTAAAAGGATGACCTTAGATACCAGGACTTTTAGGTACTAAAGGGCAATGGTATACTCCCAACTCTCTAGTTTTACACTTCCTTTCCCCAGGAGGGCCCCAGAAATTCAGGGGTGGAGGTATAAGGGTGGTACCTGGGAGTGGGGAGGGAGAGCTGGGGTGTCTGATTTGTCAGTGGGGTCTCAGTTCCTAGTGCAGCTGAAGATCATGGACTACAGCCTTCTGCTGGGCATCCACGACATCATTCGGGGCTCTGAACCAGAGGAGGAGGGGCCTGTGCGGGAGGAGGAGTCAGAGGGGGATGGGGACTGTGGCCCGACAGGACCTCCTGCTCTGGTGGGTTCCTATGGCACCTCTCCTGAGGGTATCGGCGGCTACATCCATTCCCATCGGCCCCTGGGTCCTGGAGAGTTTGAATCCTTCATTGATGTCTACGCCATCCGGAGTGCTGAGGGTGAGAGAGATCCTGGAAATTTTAAGAGTGGGGAGGGTTGTCCTTGGCAGACAGAGAGCAGGGTGGTGGGTAGAGAGACTGGTTAGCTTTTCAGAAGAGATCTGACTGGTTCCTGGGAAGAGGGGATTGGGGCTATACTTGCTTTTCATTGCTGGTCTCTCTCCCCAGGGGCCCCCCAGAAGGAGGTGTATTTCATGGGCCTTATTGACATCCTGACACAGTATGATGCCAAGAAGAAAGCAGCTCATGCAGCCAAAACTGTCAAGCATGGGGTGAGGGTTCCCCAAAGCCTTGCCTTTCCTGTCTTGACTGTTATTTGGGAAGAGAGAGCCTCTTGTGCCAGAGCAATGGGGTGGCAAAAGGATAAAGGGTTGGGTATGGAAACGGTCTGGAGTAGAACAGAGGGCGGGCAGTGGGGAAGGGGCGTGGGGTGGCCTGACACCGTGTTCTATACCTCCTCTCACAGGCTGGGGCAGAGATCTCTACTGTCCATCCTGAGCAGTATGCTAAGCGATTCCTGGATTTTATTACCAACATCTTTGCCTAAGAGACTGCCTGACTCCATGGTGACTGCTGGCAAGGCTTATGTTCAAGGTGGTGGGGTTCTGAGGGGCTTGGGGGAATTGTGGATATTCTGGCCACTACTTCTTCTCTTCCTCCTTTGCTAAATTCAGGCTAAGGCTCCTTGCATCCCCACAACTCCATCTTGTTGAGCGGGCTCTTCCTGGCCCTCAGAAATACGTCGTCCCTTCTCCCCTTTGTCCGGTTTTCCTCCTTTGCCCTCCCCTCCAACAAGTCTGCTTGCTTCATGAGAGCGTTACTGTTGACTCTCCCAAGTGCCTTGAGATTTGTCAAGTGTCCTGTTGTTTCTATAACATAGGAAGAGCTGGGGAAGGGGGTTGTTTGCCAACTTCAGGACCTGACTGGACAGATGGACCCAGCTCAAGCAACTACTCTGGATGCACTTTGCTGTGTGGGATGAACTAAGAGTATTTGAATTTTGCTGATAACTTTATAGAACTCACTGTGGCATGCTTCCTTCCCAGTGGGCCCTGGGATGGAAGAATTTCAAGATACTACAGATGTGGGTGCTGGCATGTACACATATGATGGGACATGGCCAGTCTTACACACAAGTGGGGTGGAGAGTGGTCAGCAGGCTGGCACCTCATGGAGGTGGGACCTAAGAGGTCTCTTGATTATGCAGGGAATTGGAGAAGGTCTATGTCAAGGATTGACTACTCTCCAGTCTCTTCCCTCACCCCACTTCCACCCCGACTCCTGTACTTCTGGGTGCGGGACCCCAGAGATGGCCACAGCGTTCCAAAGGTGTTTGATTGACTGTTGCTGCTCTTCACCAGGACCTCATACCCATCTTGGGGCTGGAACCCTTCAGTGGGGGTGCGGCCTGGGATGATGGGGCAGGGGTGTAAGGTTCATTCTCCATGTTAAATTTCCTTTCTTCGTGTCTAGCCATCCCTGTGGTTTTAGTCCTAGCAGAAGGCAATATCACTGCCTGGGTCAACCCTGGTCATGTAAAGAGGAAGCCTCAAGTGTGGGAACCTCCTCTGCTCCCTGGAGGTGTGCACCTAGCATACTCCCTTCCCCGACCCCTACTCAAACCGGTTTTCCAGTTGGTTTTGTTATTCTGTTCTCTTCTGTCCTATCTTATACTGCTACTGTGTCTCCCAGGGGACAGATGGCCTTGTTTGTCATCTTCACTCTCAACCCCTAGAGAGGAGTCAGAGCCATAACTCAATCACCCAGCCCCCTCCAAAGAGGGTTGAGTTGATTCGTGATAGTCTCAGAATGTAGAGGACCCTGATGAGCTGAGATAGTGTCCTCCCCTCCCCCCAATGCCTTTGGGGCTAAGGAAGCCATTCTTTTTGCTATCCTCTATCTCCCATGAAGCTTCTACATTTTTTTAAACATAAAGATGGGTATACCAGCAGCTGGCCTGTGGGGATGCAAAGATTCTTCGCTCTATATCTGGCTGGACTGATCTGTCACACAGAAGTCATGAGGTCATAAAGGAGAATTCCTCTCTCCCCTGCATCTTCTACTCCAAAGGAAGTAATGAGGAGTCCCCAGTGAAGGATTGGAGCCCCTACCATACCTTCCTGTCAGAAGTCTGATGGATCTTTTTCATTCCAAGTCTACCTTTCCCCTGTTGAATGCAATAAAACTCCATGACACCAGCAACTGTTGTTCTTTAGAAATGGGTTTTCTGACCATGTGGCTAATGTATCATGAGCGGTATGGTCTTCATTAGTTGTTTCTGTTTTTCATCTTTTTTGTTTTATTAATAGAAAAGATCTTGTGTATTTACTCCCATTGCTGTCACTATATAGAAAATAAATTATTGAATCCAAATTCCTTCAGAGAAATGCCTCTTGTTCCCCCCCCCTTTTCTGAGGAAGCCTGTGCTTAGGTGTACAGAGACCAGAGGGAGAATTCTCATCTTTAAGTTGTTGGGCCCCTAACTAAGGCTGTGGGTTTCTAGATAGATGGTTGTGAACTTAAAGGTTGCGAGGGCTGTGCATGGGAATGGAAAACTTATTCTCCAACTTTGTGGAAGTTCAGCTATAGGGGGGCCAGGGGGAACTGAGACGAGATGACTCTCTCTTTTCCCCCAGGTCCTGGGCTTGATCACACTCCCATCTCAGTAAAGATGAGTGAGCCTCTCAGCTCAGGCACGCAGGCACGCACGCACGCACGCAGGCACCACGCACCGCAGGCAGCATGCGCGAGCTAAAAGAGATGGAATTCAGTGTTCCCCCAGGCTTCCTGGGGAAGATGTCCTCTGCCTGGAAGGCAGGAAGAGTACATACAGCAAGGTCCTGGGAAAGTGAAGAAGAAAGTGACCAACCCTCCAGCCCAGAGGGGGAGTGAAGAAAGGGGGTGGACAAATAGAGGTTGTTGCCAGTCTGGGAGATCAGTACTGCCTGGGGAGGAGGCCATTTGGCTGGTGGAAAAACCTGGCTTGATGTGGCCCCAGGGATCCGTGAGTTGGACTGGGGGCGGAGATTGCTCTGATGTGGGAAGCAGAACAGAGCACAGCTTTCTTTTTTTTTCTGTGAGAGTTTTTAACTATTTCAACCATAGACTTGACCCCACCTCCCGCCAAGGCATTTAAAAAAAATGTATTCACTCCCTATCCTGCACCAGCCTCAATATCCCTGTTTGTGGAAAGAGAAAAATCAGAGGCGCTCACCAATAGCCATCTGGGAACAGGTTGTTGGGGTCACAGAAGGTAACAATCTAGGAAAAGGCAAGAGATGAGGGAGGGGATTGAAATGGTTTAGTCTTGGGGTTTATCTTTTAGAACCAATGCTATTCTTTTTACTGTGATTCTTCTTCCCATCCTATATTCTTCTTCAAAGGCCCTTCCAGCATAAGGATCACAAAAAAATTGCCCCTCTTCCCCATCTACCTAAACCAACACTCCTCACCCACCCATCCACCACCAGCTCCCAGCAGCTGCCACGCAGCTGGCTGGGAAAAAGGGAGAGGGTTCCTGCCGGGAGGGGAAGGGAGAAGGGTGGCGTCTCTGAGGGATTTAACCTCCTACCCTCGGTTCCAGGACGCCACCCCCTCCTCCAAAGACTGGGACGGCGCCTCCATTTTTGTTTTGGGGCGGAAGGGCAGGGGCTGGTGGATAGAAGAGGTCAAAAGGAAACGGTGGTTATCAACCGAGAGGGGGGAAGAGGGTGCCGTCCTCCCTCGTTCCCTTCCCTTCAGTCTGCACCCCCTGCAAACTGCCCCCACCTTCTCAGGGTCTCCCCCCCCCCCTTGTTGCTAAGGCCCAGACCGTCATCCCAGCAACAGCCTCAGTCATGTGACCGGCAATGGCGGCGCTGACGAGAGGTAGGTGAGCCCGGCGACCCCCACACCCATCGCGCGACCCCCGGGCCCGGCTCGCACCCCCCGCGCGCCCTCCCGCTCCCCCTACGCCCCCTCCTCCGCTTCCTCCCCCCGCGCGCGGCGCCCGACTCCCCCACGCCCGGCCGATCCTCTTTCTATCACCCTCCAGCGTTGGCCTCCATTTGGGGGTTCTGGGGACCGCGATCGGCCGACATGCACCCATGAGGGGGCTCCGGGAGCTCCGGCGAGAGGGCGATGTGGGGAGTTGGTTCCGGGTCGGGTCTTGCAGGACGTCGTGGGGGGAGGGGTGCAGCTGCCTCGATTGATGCCCCCCGGGACCCTTGCCCTTCCCGGCTGCCCCTCTGCAGGCCTCTCTCCGGAGGGAGGGACTGACTCCGTGTCCGGCCTGGGTTGCCCCAGAGGAATCAGAGACCCAGCATAAACTGTGGCCCCGCCTCCCTTTTCCGTGCCGGCAGGACTTGGAGCTAAGGACACCTAGCTCCTGGGTTCCGTCTGATGGGGAGGGGCGTGTTCCACCTGGACAGACAGTATGAACCGAAGCTCTCGGGGTCCAGTTTCACTCTCTAAATCTCGAGGTGCATCTGGCCTTGAGGGAACTAGGGTGGAGGCACAAACGGAAATCCGCTCCCCTTTGGATCAGTCAAGGAATTAAGGTCACACTAATGGCCCCTCTTTCTATTTGAGCTGCATTTGGAGGTGGTGTAGGGACAGCTCTGTAGCTGAACGTGGCCAGACTCAGGGGAAACATCAGGCTCCTCCAGCCGAGTCCCTGAGGGAGCCCCACCCCTCCCTAAATGCGGGCTAGATTGCTGACCGGCTTGCACTTCGCCCTCCGTGCGCTGGGTTTATAAGGCGACGGTGAGAACTTCGTTATTGCAGGGGCTGCTGTCACTTTGTTCACATTCCAAACAGACTTCCGCAGAAGGGACTGGGTTAGCTCTCAAGGAAGGCTCCCTAGGGGCTGAATTATTTGGGAATGTGGAGCAGGCCGAGGAGTTGGGGAGCATAGGAGATATTCTTGTCCATGTGATCTGAGGGAGGTGGCAAGAAAGACCTCCATCTGCGTGGGTCTTTCCCTTCCTGACTTGTCTTATCTGCACCCAGGCTTTCTGGAGATCCTCAGAGCTGGGGAAGAAAAGAGGAAAGTTAGCATGTTCAAGTTCCTTCTTTAGCAACTTGGGGAGTGGCTGGGGAGGGAATTTTGCAGGAGAGAAGGAGAGGAAATGGAAGAGGAGTTTTTGTTTTGTGTCTGGACTGGCTGGGGAAAATGTTAACCTTTGTCATCATAACCCTTTACCTTCCTCCCTTCCCCCCAGTCCTGGTCAGCCGAGTGTGGAAATAGAGGGATTTCTGCTGCTGTTTCCGTCCATGGGCTTTCCAGGTATCTACCTCCCAAAAGAACCTCAATTTTCACCTTTAAATTGGTTTCCTCCATTCCATTTTCCAAGTAATCCCATTCCTACTAACTGACACCCAGGTTCCCATCTCTGTGCGGTGGGCTATTGGGTAGGGGCATGTGGGACCGGGGGAAGGGGTTTCTCACTTTCCTTCCTTTTCCTTTCCACCCACCAGGTCACACAACCTACAAGTAGGGAGCAGGGACACAGAGAGAGAGCCTGCATGCCAATTCTAAGCTCTTCAGGATCAAAGTGAGCAAAAAGGAGGTCAAAAAGTCTCCCTCCCCTTGAAAGAACCCGGTTTTCACTCAGAGGGGGGAGGGGCAGATCGTTTCTGTGATCTTGGGAGGAGTGTAAGGAGAACCAAGACTGATGCTTGGCCTAGATGATAGTAACAAAGTTATAGAAACTTTCTTGCTTGCTCTTCAGTGGGTGCTGGGGTTTGAAAGATGGGAGGAGATAGAAAATGAACTAGAGGGAGGAGTTGGGACTATGAGAGAGTAGAGGTAATACAGGTTTGGAAAGGAACCTGAAGTAGGAGGCACTGACATTTGTCAAATGGGGACCCCCCACCCTGAGTCCCTTTCACCCTGGGGGCAGTGTCGTTCGTCCTGTCCAGAATGGCAGCCTGTGGAGGCACCTGCAAGAACAAAGTGACTGTCTCCAAGCCTGTGTGGGACTTCCTGAGCAAGGAGACCCCAGCCCGACTGGCCCGGCTTCGCGAGGAGCACCGTGTGTCCATCCTCATAGATGGCGAGACTTCTGACATCTATGTTCTCCAGCTTTCCCCACAGGGCCCCCCCCCGGCCCCTCCCAATGGGCTCTACCTGGCCCGGAAGGCTCTCAAGGGGCTTCTAAAAGAGGCAGAGAAAGAGCTGAAGAAAGCTCAGAGGCAGGGGGAGCTTATGGGCTGCCTGGCGTTGGGGGGTGGGGGGGAGCACCCCGAGCTGCACCGCCCAGGCCCACCTCCTCTCCGAGCAGCCCCGCTCCTGCCCCCAGGGGCACGGGGACTCCCCCCACCTCCACCTCCCTTGCCCCCTCCTCTTCCTCCCCGCCTTCGGGAAGAGGCAGAAGAGCAGGAGAGCACTTGCCCCATCTGTCTGGGGGAGATCCAGAACGCCAAGACCTTGGAGAAGTGCCGGCACTCGTTCTGTGAGGGCTGTATCACCCGGGCCCTGCAGGTGAAGAAGGCCTGCCCCATGTGCGGCCGCTTCTACGGGCAGCTGGTGGGCAACCAGCCCCAGAATGGGCGGATGCTGGTCTCTAAGGACGCCACACTCCTACTGCCCAGCTATGAGAAGTACGGCACCATCGTCATCCAGTACGTCTTCCCGCCCGGTGTCCAGGGGGTAAGAAGACTCCAGTCTGCCCTTACCCTTCGGTTTTCCCCAGGCTCGTTCTGTGACCTAAGAAAACTGGGTGAGGGTGAGTGAGTGTTAGATGGGATACAGTCTTGCTGTCTCCCAGCATGCCTTCCCACTCAGTGCCCTGGAGCTAGGACATCCCCTTGAGGCCCAGCTTCTCCATCCCCATGACCCCAAGGCGCACGTGAAAATCAGGTATGAGAGAAAGGAGTTGAATACTGTGTCCTTCGTGAACTTGCATGTCGACAGACATTCTTGGCAGAGGTGAATTCTGTGGAGATGGCGGCTCAGGTGCAGGCAGGCACAGCGGGAAGGGATCTAACCCTCCTAACAGAGCTGAGAGTGTTACTTGGTTCCAGATTTATGAGAGAGGAAAACCTTGATGACAGTGGAAGGTTAAAACAGGAGTGGTGGGGCCAGTGGTGCAAGCAGTTGAGTGCGCATGCTCTGCTTTGGTGGCCCAGGGTTCGCAGGTTCGGATCCCGGGTACGCACTGGAGCACCACTTATCAAGCTATGCTGTGGTGGCGTCCCATGTAAAGTGGAGGAAGATGGGCACGGATGTTAGCTCAGGGCCAACCTTTCTCAGCAAAAAAAAAGGAGGATTGGCATCAGATGTTAGCTCAGGGCTGATCTTCCTCACACACGCACACACAAAAATAAAAAAAACCAGGAGTGGTCGAGAGCCCACAGGTATCTTCCTGCTTGAGAAAGTAATTTCCAGGTCTGGTTTGCAGAGGGATGAGGAAGCTCAGAAGAAGGGTAATAGAAAAATGGAACAGGTTAGACACTGGAAGAAGCATTGGGAGTGTTGTCAGGTGGAGAAGGGAAGGCTGAAAGATAAAGTATTGTCTTCACATTTCTGCTGAGTTACCTGGAGAGTAAGGACCAGCTACCTTCCATCACTTCTGAGAATCCATTTGTTGCTGAACTGAGACTTGAGGGATCGAGACAGCAGAAAGAACCTCTTAACAATAAGGATTTTGTCCAGAAACAAGCTCCTGCTGCCCAGACCCCAGAGACTCTCCTTCCCTGAAGGGGTGTCAGCCTGTGGCTGCCCTATCAGCATTAGCTGGGGGTGCACAGAGAGAAGGCTGGCCAGGGCGACCTTCCCTTGGCGTCATAGGCCTTAAGATGTCCCGCTGCTCACTGCCCACTTTGCTTCTTCCCCCTCCTTCCAGGCTGAACACCCAAACCCAGGAGTTCGGTATCCTGGCACCACACGGGTGGCCTACCTCCCGGACTGCCCTGAGGGCAACAAGGTGCTGACCCTGTTCCGCAAGGCGTTTGACCAGCGTCTCACCTTCACTATCGGCACGTCCATGACCACAGGGAGACCGAATGTCATCACCTGGAATGACATCCACCACAAGACCAGCTGCACCGGAGGACCCCAGCTGTGCGGCTCCTTCATTTCCCCTCCCCTGGCTCCTCCCCTTCTCTCCATTCCCACTGAGGGAACAGCATCAACCCCCTCTCTCTGGGAGCCTCCTAACTGGAGAGGACCGCCCCCAAACTATTCAACCATCTTTCATCCCAGTTTCTCCTACATTCAACCTGGTCCTGATGGGCACGGCTTATCCTACAAAAATAAGCAGAATTGGGCTAAGTTTGGATAACCTTAGGGGAGGTGGGGAGGGGCTGGAATGGGGACCCCGAACGAGGGTGAGCATGGGGTAAGATGAGTAAGCCCCAACAGCTAACCCTGACCCTCATTTCTCTTTGCTCAAACTCCCAGGTTTGGGTACCCGGACCCCACCTACTTGACCCGGGTGCAAGAGGAGCTGAGAGCCAAGGGTATCACAGATGACTGAAGGACATCCCCTTTGCAAGGCCCCTGCCGTTCTCCTCCACTAGGACCCAACAGAAGCCTCTGTTCTCCTCTCTCCCTCTGCCCCCCCACACCACACTAGTCAGGCACCTGTCTGACTGGGGAAGGAGTTCAGAGAGGAAGGGGGCAGTCCCGTCCCCTGTCCCCCACTGGCCGAGTGCTTCAGTGCAGTGTGAGCCACTCCCTTCTGGCAGGGTCCCAGGCCCTGCTCCCCTCCTCCTATGTACATACTCCCAGCTTCCCTGGCCCTCTCTTGCCCTTGGCTTTTTCTGGTTTGTGCTGTGCTCCAGTGAGTAAGCTGAGAAAGGACCTGGGTGGGGAGGGCAGGGTCTCTTGAACCCCCCCTGCGCCCACATACTGCTCCTGCTGAACTTGTCGGTTCAGGGGGCTTATTGGGCTGCTGTGAGCCCCCATGGAGCCGGCTGTGTGTGTTCTTCAGAAACAATTCCCCTTCTACCTTAACCTCGTCCTTTCTCTCCTGTGTCTCTGTCTGTCTTTCTCTCGCTCTTCTCTGCCCCCTATAAGGAGCCTCCTTACCCTGTTCTGGAATCGCTGCCAGACTGTAGCTTTTAATTTAATAAGAATAAAGTAAAATATGCAACTCTCTATGCCACACCCGTTCTGTTCTGTGGACCGGGTGGGGGTGGGGGTGGGGATGGGGTGGGGAGCAGGACTGCTGAGAAGGGGAGGGGGTGGTGATCGGGAGATCCCTGTGTGCCTCGCAGTCTCCCTGCCTCCCGAGGGCCTGGGGGGATGGCCTGTGCGTAGCGAGCTCTCTAAGAACACTGCGAAGCCCTGGATCACGCGTCGAAGCTGGAATCGGGATTAAGAGGAGTTTGTTTGTTGTCGAACTACGGTTGTAGAGAAAGGAACAACCCTATCCCTTCAGAGAAGTTTGGCTGGGGTGGGAGTGGGGGCGGAGCCGGGCAGGGGGCGGATTCGGCGGCAGCAACTCCCCGGACGCACGCAGGCCTCGGAGCCCCCCAGCTTCCGTGCCCCCTCGGCCCTGAAACTTGGATCAGGGTAGGGGTCCAGCATGAAGCCCCCGGACCGCCCCGCCCCTGGCCGCACTGACCGGATACTGGGGGTCATGGGTGGCATGCTGCGCGCATGCGCCCTACCCGGGCAGGAGGGGGTAAGAAAGGGGCACCACGGTTGGGTCCGGGGTCTTTAGGGGGCTTCAAGCCGGCTGCACCCCACAACTCAATTTACCCGCAAACAGGAATTCTGCGGGGCAGTCGCAGGAATCCGAAAGTTCCATTAAGAGGGTCGTAGCCACGTTCTGGGTGAACCACTCCCTGCACCCCAGCCTTGGCGACCCCCTTATAACAACGTGGATCATGACAGGAGGGAGAAGGGGAAGCGGGAGGTCAAGGCTGGGCGTGGAAGGCGGGTTCCTTAAGATCATTCTCTCCACGCAGCTCCCAGAGAGAAGCCCCCTAGGGCCGGGGGGAACCGATCCAGAGTCTGACTGTACAGAGGGGGACCAGAGAGGGGAGCGTGAACGGGAGGTCCCCGCCTGGGCTCTACTGCCCGGTAAGAAGCTGGGGGTGGGGTGGGGCACAGTTTGCCATCCTGCGCAAAGTGGCGAATTCAAAGATTTGCTGCTCTTATTAGCATAAAGGTTCGCATCTAATTTGCATGAGACCCATTTAATCGCTGAGACCTCCACGCTTCTTCTCGCCCTCTAGTCCGCTGTGTGTCCCCCACCTCACCCGGTCCCGAGCCCCCGCAGGAGGAGTGTCCCCGCGCCCCACCCCTGGCCTCTCGCCAGCCCAGGCTCGGGACTTCGCCTTAATTGGTGATTAGTCTCAGCTGGAGTCCCGGGGCCTGGAGGAAAGAAGGGTCCGGCGAGAGGAAGGCACCTGGGCTATGTTCCCCACAAAGAGCTCCCCATCCACGCACCCCCTACTGGGGGGGCCTTGTCTACACCAAGCGGCTAGGGACAGTCCCAACCACAGGACATCTTCGCACAGGCCAAGGCCCCATCCACCGCGCCCTACCCCACCGCAGAGGCCGAGGGGCGACCCGCGCAGACCCCACCGCCCGGCTTAACCCCCAGCCCAGTGCTCCGCACTCAGAGCCCGAGATGCGGGAGGGAGGGGGAACTCGGAGCGGGGGAGCCCAGGCCGGGGAGGAGGGACGGAGGCGCTGGGGACGTGGAGTGGGAATGTGGTGGTGCCTGGGGGAGGGGGTATTGGGGCGGGAACCCGGCACAGGCCGGAGGGGGGACTGGAGGGAGAGGGCGGAGCTGGGCCGCAGAGGCCCCTCCCCGCGGCAGCACCGCGGCGGGGCCTGTTATTCGGCTCGCGGCTCGGCCGGGACCCGCGCAGCGCCAGTGGCTCGGGGAGTCGGCCCCCGCCTCCTCCCTGCCCGGGCCTAGAACCACCCCCAACCCGAGAGGCCGGCGACGGAGCTGGAGCGGCTGCCGCATCCCGGCCCAGCCTTCCCCACTATCCCTCCCCTCCCCGCTGGACATCTGGACCCTGGGCCCCGCACCGATAGGGTTCCGGAAGCCCTCCCCGCCCAGCTCGGCGGCCGGGCCCCGCGCCGCCCTCTCTGCAGAGCCCCCAGCCCTCCTCCAGACCAGACTTCCGCCTCCCCCTGGACGCCCCCTCCCCGTTCCCTCCCTCCCCCCCTCCCCCAGCCTGGAGCGGGGTAGGAGGGAGGGGGGGTGTGCGCCCTGCGCCGTCCCCGCCCCGCCCCCCGTGATTCCCCCTGCATGGCCGGCCCGGGTGGGGGGTGCGGGGGGGCCCGGGCGCCATGCGGGGGGGGCACAAGGGGGGTCGCTGTGCCTGTCCCCATGTAATCCGAAAAGTGCTGGCAAAATGCGGCTGCTGCTTCGCCCGGGGGGGACGTGGTGAGTGCGAGGTCGCCAGGGCCCAGTGTTGAGTTGGGGGCGGGCTGAGGGTTCAGGACATCTGTCGGCCCTGGCCCTAGGGATTTAGAGGCTGGAGGCTGTACCTGTGTTTTCCAGGAAAGTGACTTCATAGATAATTCCTCTAAGATCCCTCTGCCTCCAAATTTCTATCAGTTCAAGTTAAGGAAATTGGGGAAGGGGCAGGGGACTCTTCTCTTTCTTGTAGTCAACTGGGTGTGAGAGAAACCCATCCACAATCCCCTTAGGCCTAGAACCGCCTTTTCCCTCAAATCCTTTAGCTGAGAATTGATTTCAGATCTGAAGAGGGACAAGGGGATGGAGGAATGAGGATGAAGGGTCTCCCAGGGGCTTTATCACAAATCGCAGCTCCTCTGTCCCTGAGCCCAGGCCAAAGATAACCCTGATGGGCTCTCCTCACTTGCCCCTCCTGTTGGGTTTGTGCCTGGGTTGGGGAGGTGGGCTGCAGAAGTCTTGTCTTTTTATAGTCGTTACTGTAATTGGTGGAGGAGAGGTCTGGGGGTGGCAGATGCGCTCTTAGCTCTCTTTCTTCTCCCCTTCTCAGAGAATGGTCTGTACCCATTGGAAGGGGGAGGGTTGTAAGAGAGCAGATGGCCACCCCCAGCTTCCAGTGTCTGCCCCATATGGCTGTCCCCACCCCCACATCTGTGCCATGCTCAGGATATGAGGGAACCTCCACATGTAACTGGGGGTTCCAGGCCTGGGGAGCTAGGTGTTTACTGACCCCCCTCACAAGGTGTCCTGCTGGAATTTTCTATCCTGGCCAACTCAAATGAGGGTGGCAAGAGAGCAACCCCTCTCGCTCTCTTGGGAGAGGGGCTGAGCATCATAGAAAGGAGACTTGCGGAGCTCCTTAGGGACCTTGACTCTGGAGCTGGAGCAATATCTATCTCCCCCTCTCCCCCTCCCCCCCATTAGAGTCCTATTCCATTGCTGGCAGTGAGGGGAGCATCTCAGCTTCAGCTGCCTCAGGCCTGGCTGCCCCCTCTGGCCCCAGCTCTGGCCTCAGCTCTGGCCCCTGTTCCCCGGGCCCTCCAGGGCCAGTCAGTAGCCTGAGAAGATGGTTGGATCATTCTAAACATTGTCTCAGTGTGGAAACTGAGGCAGACGGTGGCCAGGCTGGACCATATGAGGTGAGCAGGGACCATATGAGGTGAGCATGGATGCAGGACATCCATTAAGGACACTGGGAGAGAGGGCAGGTTGGGGGCCACTGGTCATTGGAGAGATATAACTACTGTCCTCTGAAACTTGACCTTTGCCCCAAGAACTGGATGCTGGAACCAGTTCTAGCCACAGGAGAGGAGCTGCCAGAACTGACCCTGCTGACCACATTGTTGAAGGGCCCTGGAGATAAGACGCAGGTATGAAGAAATGGGTCTGGAGCGACTCCCCTCACCCAAGAGGCATCCATTTGCTTACTCTAGGATATTCTTCCCTTCCAGCCACCTGAGGAGGAGACTTTGTCCCAAGCCCCTGAGAGTGAGGAGGAACAGAAGAAGAAGGCTCTGGAAAGGAGTATGTAAGTGTCCACACACTCTTCCTCCACCCCACAACTTCCCGAGGACTGTCCCTCCCATTTTAGATCTGAGACTTGGAATCTCCTCTGAGATTGGCTGTGGTAATGAAGGGGCTGCTAGTCCACGAGGAAGTGGCTAAACCAAGGATGCGCACTGCTGCTCTCTTCCCAGGTATGTCCTGAGGGAACTGGTAGAGACAGAGAAGATGTACGTGGATGACTTGGGGCAGATTGTGGAGGTAGTTCCCTTTTCCCTTCCCAGCCCTGGCCCAGCCCTTTCCCTCTGCTCAGGGCTAATTTTAGGAGTTGCCTTGGTGCTCCTCTGTTCCACCTTCCCCGTCCCTCCTACATCCTGGACTTCTTGGGGAGGAGGGTTTCCCGCTAGGGCTGGCCCCACACATTCATACTCCCACCCCAACCTTTCCACAGGGTTATATGGCCACCATGGCTGTTCAGGGGGTCCCCGAGAGCCTTCGAGGCCGTGACAGGATTGTGTTTGGGAACATCCAGCAAATCTATGAGTGGCATCGAGAGTGAGTGGTGGATCCTTGAGGGAGAGGGGGAGGGGCATATGGCTGGGCCCATTGTTGCCTGAGGAATGTTTAGAGAGGCTTCATGGGGAGCACTACTAGGGCGGACAGCTCTACCTTGCCAGTCGGGGTATTTGACCTGGCTTTTCCCTGCCAACTCCTCCAGCTATTTCCTGCAGGAGCTACAGCGGTGCTTGAAGGATCCTGATTGGCTGGCTCAGCTATTCATCAAACACGTGAGGGTTGAGGGGGTGGGGACCAGGAGGGAAGAGGTCTGGGCCTGGATCAGGGGTCTCTGAAGATGGGCTCTCTCTCCTTGGTAACCCTGCTCATTCTTAAACTCTGCCCCTGTTAGGAGCGCCGGCTGCATATGTATGTGGTGTACTGTCAGAATAAGCCCAAGTCAGAGCATGTGGTGTCAGAATTTGGGGACAGCTACTTTGAGGTCAGTGTCTGAGGTACCTTGGGGGAGGGGAGACAGAATCTGCATGAGCAGGCTTTCCAGGCTGCATAACCCCCCTGTCCCTGTCCCTGTCCCCAGGAGCTCCGGCAGCAGCTGGGCCACCGCCTGCAGCTCAACGACCTCCTCATCAAACCAGTGCAGAGGATCATGAAATACCAGCTGCTGCTGAAGGTCGGGACCACCAGCTCCCTGGGG